GCAAAACAAATGGTTCAAAATTATATAATTTTGCAAAGTCGCTATATATGTTACTGCTCGTAAAAAACATTAGGTATTACTTTATGCGGTACATTGATCCGATACCTTATGCTTTTATACAGTGTATGGCTATCGGCGGAACTCAAACGTTCTCAAAATTCCGTAAACAATATGCCATTTAATTGTAATCATTTTTCAGGATTCTGTCAAAACCAAAATAAACGAATAGAATAGGTACGATTCTATAGTCTAACGTCGTTTGGCAATGTCCGAATTACTCAACTCGAACAAACATTATTGCTGAGTTCGGTTTCTAGATTTCCCCCACAAAAGCCATTTCATCCTATTCTGGACGTAATAAATGTACGTAATATTGATGCACTATTCTCATACTGACACGTTGTTATGATACGTTCGGTTGAGACGGATCGCATACGCTACGTTCGAAAAAGGCGAAAGTGGGGTTCGGCGCCATTCCAAGTCCTGTCGTAAGACGGAAGGCATTTGTTTAAGACATTCGCCAGTCACTTTCACTCACCCGGATGCGACGCTGCGACTAGAATATGTCAGTTTCAATAGGCCGATTGACAAATCGTTGCTTGAAATAGAAATAAAGCAGTTTCTGTATTTGGCAACTATATTATATATATATATATATATAGATTGCATCGTTATATATTTCATAACTTATTGTGACCCGTTGTTACAGCATAAAAAATGGAAATTTTCACCCAAAAAAGTAAGAATTTTTCACTATTACCTTTTTGAATATTCATATACATCAAAACATAAGGTAAATAATTGAACAAGCCGTCGATAAAAACTTCAACAGGTGCCTGTCAAATACTGATTGTGAATATAATCATTGGCATCGAACGTTCGAAACCGTCTTCAAGTTGAATAACTAAAACAATATATTTCATCGTAAAATGAGTGGCAGATACTCATCAAAATGCATAGAAAACATATCATGCTGTGATTGAAGCAATAATTCAAAATGGCGTCTGATACGTCAAAGACCCAACGTTTGTGAAAGCTGTTCATTGATTTGTCTAATTGCCCACGAGCTTTAAGTGATGCCATGAAATCACTTTTCGAAAAACAGAATAAGGCCCATTAGTCATCCAGTACCTATACAGACTCCATTTCACATGACGAGATCTCATCTACGTTGTCTGCATTGGCCGAGTCATTAGGCGGGGGAGTTGCTTTGTTTATGAAAAGTGAAGACTAGCCTTCGTACCCTTGATTTCGCTTTCATTTCAATTCAGACGCTTGTCGATTGGAGCAATTCTCACAGAGCACGTAAACCACTAATGCTCAGGGTCTGCGTAACGTCAACATTCCCTTCGGGGAGAGATAAGAGCATTTAAATCCAAGAAATTTCATCAATTTTATTTAAATAGAAACCATAATGGTGAGCGAACACCAAGGAAGAAATCATGACGTAGATAGCTATTCTCTCACAGATGAAATTGTAATTTTTCACCACACATGTTCCTTGTTAAATAAAACTGTTTCGTTTATGCATTTCGCAATCATGTTGGTCCATATTATATTTACCAGGCAACGAAGATAATGGGATGTCTATTAACCCGAAATCTGACTTCATATAATATGACGTTTAATTGTTCGAAGGCCCTCGTTATTATTATCGCTTTCCGACAAGTATGCGCTCTCAGGAATTGGTTTGACTGGATTCCACTCGGAACAATGACTGTTACGAGATGACGAATACCAATATCCAGGGTATGAATAATATTGAAGAAACGACTGGTAAGACGCAATCATTTGGCTATGATGATTTCATCGCGGTTCAGACAATCCATGTCAAATTAAGATTTTTTTTTATATAGAAAAATTTTTTCTGTACAAATAGAAAACTAGAAATTGTTACGAGTACTACCAAAACCCAATTTTAATTTTTTCACTTGTCAGTTTGTTTTTCTCTAACATTCTGTTTCATTCCATTCATTTTGAAACAACTTAATTATATCGTACTCATGCACTTGACAACTTTGTGCTAAATTTTGTTCATTATGAATCTATTCATCGTATAAGGAAATTTACATCCAAAATTCGTCAATGTTAATCCCGGTTTAATATACACAGTCGGTTGACCTCCAATTGCAATGAAGCAACACATAATAGCAAAACAAGGTGTGAGAGCGAAAAAATTTATATTTAAGAAAATTGTATAGAAAAGATGTGAAAATGCAAATTTATCTGTCTACAGTTTTTTAAAGACTAACATTAGATTCGAGATAATATTAAGTTTTAGAATGAGGACTCCCCATAGAAGGAATTCCCTCATTTGCATCACGAAATAAGTTCTGATGAAGTCATCACTTTCACATGGGCTTGAGTAGTTTACTTAAAATTACTTAAAATTCGTCCTAACGGCGAGTGACTCCGCTTGACTCTGAAATTTAATTTTATTGTACTCGATTTATTATGACTTGGATTCGAGGGTGGCGACTTAAAAATAGAGTTGTTTTAATTGTGGACATATATAAATAATTACAATCATCTTTTCCTCTATTACACCTGACCAGCCCGACTTCCATCGCCTCGTTTCAATGACACATTGTTAAGGATAATTGCTCCTCAGTGACATCTAGTGGCTATATTTCATTGATTGAACTGCTCACAACATCAAACAGACATGATTTGGACCTTTTATTTTGTAAAGCCGTTGCCTATTCAAATTCAGAAATGAGGTGATTTTAATGGAATAAGATGAATAGATAAAGAACGGTCAATATTCAATGATAAGTTTATTCAAAAACTCATCTTAGTCTCTTCCTAAACGGAAACACGCGCGTCTTTGAGTGGACTTGGGTTGGACGGCGAAAAAAACGGTAGCCAAATCGCGCGCCATCCGTTGTAATTATTTCCCCAATATTCGGATTTGCTAACCCTAATGTGTAATCAGTAGGGCTGGCAATTTCCGGGAAAACACTTTAACCGTTAACCGGGTAAAATTAACTGGTTAACCGCAGCGTGACGTTTGACGTAATAATTTATAATTTTAGTTTATTACGTCACAGTGGTTACAAATCAATTTCGCGTGATCTTATCTTATATCTCAAAATTATTCACGAATCGAGATAGTTCCGTGATCGCTCTGCTGCAAGAGATATGCAGCGTTCTTCGGACATATATATGGAAGTATTTTAGTAAAACCCGATTCCATTATTAAATGTCCTTTATGAAATAAAATTTCAGTGCTCGATATGCAAATTTTACTTTGAGATATCATAAAGAAAGCACACAATTGCGCACATTGATAGACGATTTTGCAATAAAATCGTGAGCAATAAATTTTTACCGAAAACTGATTCTGAATTTATTATTGTCAAATTTTCATAATCAGCAATCTTGGCACTTTTTACAATTTTTTCACATTTATTCGGTCCTAACCAATACAGTTAGTTCTTTTGATATAAACGCCACATGCCCCATAACGTAATCATTTTTGAAGAAATTGTACATTATAAGGATGCTTTGAACCTAAAATGTCGGTTAACGGTTAAAATAATTCGTAACCGTTAACCATCAAACATCGGTTAACAGGTTAACCATTCCCAGCTCTAGTAATCAGCATACGCCTAATGTGTGCTCCAACTGTAATGAGAAGGTCAGCAGCGTATTAAATGGGAAATGATTATAAGCATAGAATGTCGGATGAGACAATTCATTTTTTTTAGTCCTGAACTTGATGCATCACAATGTTCCCAATTTACAATATATATTTATCATGTAAAAATTTCACTTTCAGCGGGCTTTCGCCGATACTGCGACAACTCATTCGAACGACAGAGATTCGATGAAACCCAATGTTGAGACAAATGACATAGAGCAGTGGCTCTTCCACTTTTTTTTAGTTGGGACCCACTATTTATTACCACAGCTTATGGCAACCCATTTAACTTTTTATGACATAACACAAAACACAGCAACGGCTAATCATCGCAAAACTACCGTGTTTTCTCGAAAATTAGTTCTGGCCTGAAAATCAGACCTAATTTGAATGATTTTAGTTAAACCCTACCCTTAAAATAAATTTGAAATGTGTGGCAGAGGAAAGGTTCAATGACCTGCGGTAAAGTGAAGATCACATCACTATTCAAGATTGTGTGATGTCAATATCACAATTATGATATTTGTCACTTGATTTTTGTATAGGAAATACAAATAAAAACAATGGATGTCGGGTTTTATATAATGTTTATTAAAAAATCTCGTGATTTTCTACAATGTAATTTTATTTTTGATAAATGAACACAAAAGACCTCTTCAAAAAAAAAAACCATGGTGTTATTCTTCAATAGAAAATAAATCTAAATTCTGTCAAAATTTCGGGAAAACACGGTAAGAAGTGCTGTACAGTGTACAAAAACTGATATGCGTAAAAAGCCACATGGTCATTCTTTGTGTAGAAAATTTTTGTTCCTTTGAGAAGATCGTAAAAAGGAAACTTTCACAGATTAGAATTTAAATTCAGTTTAATTTCTTTTTTTTTTTTTTTAAGATTGACGTATTCAAGTCGTCACCGATCCTAATAACCAGTATAACTAGAATTTGGTTGTAAACCGAAGACTTATCGATCGAAGGTTAGGGGATCCCGCAAAACAGTGGTCTTACTCCATTGTGACACCGTGTGTCCCATCACTAATTAATTAATAACTCGCTAATTATACGACATAATCCTTCCAAAATCAATAGGCTTCTGATCCGAGCTAAGATGAATGCACATGCAAAATTTGGAGCAGATTGAACCTCGCTTTCGTGAGATATCGCGTGCATCTAACACACAGACATACAAATACCTATCAACATACTTACCGATCAAGATCGATAAGTAATAATCAAAGCTTTCTACATCTTTTCACGACCCACTAAGATTCCTTTTGCCACCCACTAGACCCATAGTTTGGGAACCGCTGGCATAGAGCAAAGCCGATGAATTGAGTCTCACATAAAAATAGAATCACATGTACTAATGTCAAAATAGTTTAATTTAATAAAATCGCTCACAGTATAATACAGCAATTGATATTAAAGATTCATTGGCAAGAAAAATGACAAAAAAGCACATTCCGTTAGTCAGACCACTCTCTACATTATATCATTTAAATATAGCAAGAGATGAAGCTTGATTTATCCCTTGCTACGTTTAAAATGATGTATAATATTAACACTCTCAGAAAAAATGATCACAGTCCAATGAAAGATCACTTATGATTCACAATGATAAAAAAGTTGATCGAGACAGCAGATACAAAAATAAAAGCATGAGATGTAAACAATGTCCTTATGTTCTTTAAATTAAAAGAATTAAAAGAGCAGTTCCAACATTGTTCATTCATAAGGGAATGCATCAGTGTATGGGAACACTAAGCAATTTAAGGAGCGGAAAATACGTGGTGGAAACTTTAAATGCCAATGGATTGTCCTAATTTTCTTTTTAATTACCAAAGCTCTAGAAAATGAAATTTGAATGTCAAACTATATACCAAATATAAATACATACAAACTTTGTTCCAGGATGGGAAAAATGGTTGGTAAACAAATTTTGAACCAATATTTTAGTTGCAAAACAAATCAGACAATTTTATTTTCAAGGCAAAGTAAAAAGCACTAGTAAATAATAATCAAGATAGATAAAAAGAGTGAAAAATCAGAAAACATGCAAAAATACTCAAAATGCATAATAGTGCCAGCTTCATAAAAATAATCACATTACACCAATTTGCTATATCATAAGACTGAAGTACATATTAAGAACGGTTTACAACTTAATACATCAGCACATTCTCAAACTTGATTGCGTGTTATCATCTAATATGCCATCAATGGCTCATACTTGGAAGAAAATGTGTATATATAACCAAGCTTAATATTGGAGAATTCTCTACTAAGGGTACAATTTATGAAAATGCATCATATCATACTAAAAGAGGTCCTCCATTTACTCCAGAGCAAGAGTTCTCAATCGTGGGTAAATTATCCTCTCGGTAAATCAGACTGTTTTTTTTAGGGTAATACTGCAAGCAAGAAATTACAAACCCAAATGTGTTCCCACTTATTCTTATTCTTTTGAAATCTGTCATACAGTTTTATTGTGAAGATGTCAAACTCAACAAGTGAACTTGATGATTAATGATAATGCAGTCCCAGGAGCCATATTACGAATATGAATCCTTAGACAAAAAATGATAAAATAACTATCCTCATTAACAATTCCTTTTAACAAGTTCAATAAATACATAACATATGAAACTTGTAGTCGTTCAAGGCACAAATGAGACTATTATTCTAATAGATTAAGAAATGGGCTGGTAATCATAATTTGTAACCAATTGATATTTATATGAAAACCTATTCGATCTCTTTATTTTGACATAAGCCACATAAAGACCTCCAGCAATAATGACCAGTAGAGGGCAGCCAACACCAGCAAACAAAATACATATAACTAGCGTTGAAAATACATCAACAGGTGGTTTCCCAAACCCAATAGCAGAGGTCCAACTCAAGTACCGCGTGCGTACATAAAAACCATCATCAGGTTCGCCAAAGAACACATCGGCAGATTGCACTAGCATGCTTTTGATTTGAGTTGAACCAAAGTAAGCTCTCAGTAATCGGTTATATAGCACACCTGTAAAAATTACATTTATTGTAGTAATTGCTGAACTAGTTCTATTTCCTGAAAGCGAGCAATCCATTTGCAGAGAAATGTTTTTACCAATAGATTCGGCATTTTGAGGTTATGAATAAAACACTGGGAAATCGTTAGAGTAGATATTTAGCAGGCTTTATTGAAAGAAAGATCAGATTAGACAGTCAAAAATTTTCCTTCAAATATTGTGGATTCTCATTTCAAGTCCAGATATGTCAAATAAAAATTCACTTCACACAGAATGAAATAAATTTAGGATGCAAACAGATGGAGAATTCACTTAAGCCTAATTTTCATCTAATAGAAACCAAACTATATGTGAATTTGCTTGTTGAAAGGATTATTGGATACAAATTGTGAAAACAATGTTAATAACCTAACATAGGACTTCTACATAATAACTTTCTTGTTTTATAAGGTTGGGACCGAAAACCAATTAATCATCATTAAACAGCAAATTTGATGCAACAAATATGCTCCATTAATCCAATAATATATAAGAAATGCACAACTATTACTTTGAGAAAATTTATGAGTAATGTTTCCATAGGATCAAAAGCGTATAACAAAATGCAATGCAAATGCTTCAATACATATTTACTTTGCACAGATCTCTAGGGGTGCTAAATAATTATAAACTACCTGATTTGCATATACAAGTTCAATATTTATTTAGCAATATGTAAAAAATAATGATGTAATAGGTCGCGTGAGTGCAAAATCTGTGTGCACCTCGACAATCAATAAACAATCAATACTATTACTCAGTGTGATGGGAAAGATCAAATGTTCAGTTCATGGATCATGATACAAACCAAATGCTGATTCAAATTACATTAGGATAAACGACAGGGATATTGTCGCACACATAATGAAACATGGACTGGAAGAATCCACAGGTTAAGTTTCAGTAAGTAGTTATCAAATCAAAAATTAGGGTGCTCCAGAAGTATGTGTACCAATATGGAGGCAACTAATTTTTTTCATCTATTTTACATCAAGTTGTGTAAAGGGACGGAAGTCTGTGGGCAGGGGGTATATTCACTTGGCTAACACAGACAGTCCCTGAACTCGTAATAGAACTAAAAAATGAAAAATCAGAATAAAACTATGGCCTAACCCTAACCTGGTACACATACTAGGGGAGTACCATTATTAGTGCATACCTGGAAGAAAAACCACCAAATTCTACTTTGAATAATGTAAAATAACAGTAATTTTATAGTTTTCCATAAGTATTAAGGTATGTCTGTCTGCCACTACCTACCTTCATTATATTCTGATGATGAAGTGTTGACTTCTTGTAGTGAACCAGTCATTACGTCAGTGGAGAATTTCCTTTGGTGCTCCATTGTGGTGTAACTGACCTGAATAAAATTGTGAAAATATATCATAAAAATGAGTGTGTATAATCGTTGATTTAAGACAAACGGCAAGCATATAAAAAGTTGTCGATAAAAAGACAGCCGAAGCAGTTGGACATGAGATAAGACTAGTAGAGCTTCATGATATAATACAAATAATCATGTACTATTTTTTTCTTATTATTTTATTACCTTACAGCACATTGAACCCATGATTTAATTTTGAAAATGGTCACAAGGTTGAAAATTTAATACGACAATGTTCTCTCCCAAATGAAAAAGAGCGGAATTTCCAATACAAATTTCAATACCGTTCTCCATTGTGTAAAAGTTTCAGTTTCTGCACCCGTTTGATTGAACCACTCAATTTTCTCGGTCGTAAAAATAGACGGACAATATTCATCGTCAATAGTCTTGATCTTCGATTTAGAAATGTTTCTATTCGAAGTAAGCACCAGCATCCTAACACCAAACCTGCAAAAATAAATGTACTCCTGTCATTGGCTAGGAAGTCAGAAAATGTATTTCTACCCTAACTATGATACTAAGCACATTGACAGCATGAGGATTTAAATTTAGATTTGAAAAAAAATTTTTTGGAGGGGGAAGGAGGTTCATAGTAAAATAAAAATAGTAAAATTGCACAACTCGTCTATGGTGCTTGCTCGTAAGAATAAACATGATTGCTAAATATAAAAATCAAGTTTAATGGGGCGCTTGACACTGTTTGGTCTCTTACTTTCTAGTATTTCAACTATACAAAAAAATTTCCAATTAATGAACACATCTATTATCATCCTCAGAACTCAAGGCTATGCAGCTGAATCATTGTTTCTAGAATAATTAAAGACCGCTTGTGAATAACAGTATTGACGGCCCGCACTGAAAACACTGGGAATCAATGACTCAGTTCCATAATTGTTCGCTCCGAAATTGAATTTCTATCAATTTCCCCCTATTAAGTGGAGAGTTCAGGTTTCGGTACTCCCTTAGTGTGTGTACCAGGTTAGGGTTAGGCCATAACATAAGTTTATTCCGATTTTACTCATTTTAGTTCTAATATGAGTTCGGGAACTGTCTGTGTTAACCAAGTGAATATATTGACAATGTACCTTGATCCATTTCCTCGGCTCATTAATGACTCAAGAATAACTTCCCATTCAGATGAGTTTGCGTTATGAGGTAACGATGGTAATATGTCAGATTGTCCATTTGACTTAAATGGAAAGAAATTGATAGACAAAGAACTGTTCATTGAAAAACTTTTTGGATATTTCAATGTTGTTCCCTGAAATAAATAACAGAATGTATGAAATATTTTAAAATTTTTTTAATTAATCTGAGGGAAAGTCCAATACAGTAATAATTATGAATTTTCAGAATAAAATTGACATTTTGACATCAGACAGTTAAACTGAAAACAGGCTAGCTTCTTACAAAATATATTGAAAATAGTAAATTATTCGGTAATCTTCAACTCTGAATCACAATTCAAAAACGTCATAAATGATGATTCAACAATCAACTTGCAAAACTGAGATAAACTGATTAAAGATGAACATACAAACATACTTTTAATGTTGCAGGCAATGACTCAGTGATGTTAACGTCCCACACCATGTCACTCAGCAAAATGGGTGTGAATTGCCAACTTGCATTAAAAACTGCTTCATCAGTAGAATCGTTGTATTCCAGCAACTAACATAAATAGAAAAATTAATAATTAGGAACATATATACATTATACACGTGCATATCATGCTTGAAACTATAGATTAGAATGGCATATTTCAATATCACTGAATAAATTCAGACAGCTGAAGCTTTTGAGTTTAGATTCCGAGATCACGACTCAGGTTCTATCCTTGATGTAGACCCCTGAAACACTGTTTAATTTGTAATGTAGACTTTTTATTGGGACTTGTTTTCAGTTGGATATATTTCATGATTGTAATTGTGCGGACTTCAAAAAAGAGAAATTTGTGGTACTCTCGTAGTATGTATGTGTACCAGGATTAGGCATATTTTATTCTGATATTCCTTATTTCAGTTCTATTACGAGTCGGGGACTGTTGGCCAAGTGAATATACCCCCTGCCCATAGGTTTCAGTCCATTTACACAACTTGATGTGAAGTAGACTAGGCAGACAAAATTAGTTATCTCCATATTGGTACACACACTTCTGGAGCACCAAATTTGTTTTGTATAATTTACATTACTGGTATAAGCAGCATTTGAATAATCATTCACCTATTGCAGAGATCGCACTACAGATGTGGAAACCTCATAACAGGCCGTCAGACTGTGGTATTAAACTTGGCTTAATTTTAGCTGAACATGACTTTTGATGGAACATGTCACATGACACTGAGCAGAGCAAGTAATTAATATTCAGTTAGACTTCTCCATCCTCCTGAATTTTGTTTTCAATAAAAAATATCTACCCTATCAAAAATGATGACATTTTCTACATCAACATCAACTTCTTCTGTGAGATTCTCGGATACAAGTTTGACAGATCCAAATGTATCTTCTAAATTTGGGAGCAGAAATTTTGTCCAGTTAACACTCAGTATTGCACTTTCGTCATTTGATCGTAGTAGGAGAATTGAGGGAGGCGATGGACCAACAGTTGATAAAATGTAATGTAGACTGTCATTCTCGCCCTGTTCGGAACAAAAAATGAGCATATTGGATAGGATAAGATTTACATATTTATCTTGGGGGTGAGGAAAGCCGATAAGACAGCCTAATCATATGGCGAACCATAACCCCTCGTCCGGTGACCAGTCAATGTTGGGTATGGGATTAGTTAGCCAGGTATATGTTTTCGGAAGAATGGACTTGATGGTGTGGGAAAGCTGTAACTGACCAGTGGTTACGTGGACCATCCTACGGCGAGCAATCCTCTCACACATAACTATCTCTGGATGGGTTTCAAACCTGCAAACCCTTGCAGGATAATCAGAGGTGTAGCCGCGAGTGTATTCCTAACGCTTAGCACGATGCGCCACACCGCCTGGCTGAAAAAGATTGGCTGAAAGTTATAATTGACAATGAATGTACAACATATAAAACATTTACTGACTAATTTATTATAAAATAAGTTTAGTTTAATGCCTACATTATCTTGTTAAGTCCAAAGTCAAGAATATTTCCTTTGACTAAAAATATGCTAGGCCTGCTAGTAACAAATCACCACTACCACTAAAGCAAAGTACCATCGAGACAATTTTGATGCTTTTAATTCAGGAGAAATATTTATTGCAGAATATTTCGAAATACATTCACAGAAGTCAAAATTGTTCTATATACAAAGAAATTGTGAATCTAAGTATTGAACAACCAACTCTATCAGAGATTACCAATTTATCATACCTGTGCTCTTGCATAAATCAAATTGACCGTGGAATCTGTTGTCGTAGAATTGCACTCAATTATATTGCACCCAGGATTGTAAAACAGTTCAACCTGAACAAAATAAAGAAAACAGCATTTTTTATAGTCCAATAAAATGATCCATAAATTAAAAAAATATTGACAAATATAAAAATACCAATAGCTGAGGAATAAATATTTTATAATCAATCTCCAAATTTTTGGGTTTTTGAGAACAAAAGTCACTATCTTTATAACAACTTAAACAAGTGGGTGCAGTGATCGAGGTATTGGACTTCACCACCCCATCAAGGTGGTAATGAATTGGGTAAGCGATGCCTACCAGATTTCTGTCCTTCCAAACTATAGCAGCTTGTTAGCTAGCCGTAGCTGCTTGTACAGAGCTCGAAAACCAAAGTATCAAGCAGAGCTTGAAATCAAAGCATCAAGCTCGAAAGTATTGCCAAAGCCGAATACCCTACTACTCCAATTATATTCTGAAATAATATTTTCTAATATGGAATATAGGTATTTGAGGAGCGGCCTACATGTTCAACAGAGAACAAACAAAACCCAATGCCCCATATTCTTTATTAATGAGTAAGAATTTGAAACGCGAGAAAATTACCACAAATATACGTATATCAATGACCTGCAAATTGTTCGGAAAAAGAACGAAGGCGATTCCCACCATACTCTGATCATCATTTAATTAAATTGGTACTTCTCATAACTACAGTTCTAAACTATTCAGCCATTTTGAAAAGCACTGAACATAATCAATTTAATTAATTAACTCATTCATGATCTACAAATAGCATGTTATAATACTTTTACAGAATATACATATTATATGCATTGCTGTAATATTTTTGAGAAATAGGTTACAAAACGAGATAGGAACAACATAAATGACACAAATAGTGAGGAAATTGTTTCTTGAATCATTGTTGCATACAGGAAAGTGGACAAAAATGGGTCGCAACACATTTAAAACTCCCAAAGAAGGTTAGGAACCAGAAAGTTGAAAAGTTTCTCACCTTTCTTTTAAAATCAGCCTTCTTTGCTAGAATTCCATCTTCAGATAAAATTGTCAATACAAATATTAAAATACTAAAAGCATTTGTGCTGTTAAACAGCACCATATTGAAATTGAAAACTGCAAAAAAAGATGAAATTTTTATTTCAAATCATTTTCAAAATATTACCAGACCATAAGTTACCGGTTTCGAAAAACAAGATGCATACACAATCACTGAAGGCAACTATGAATTTCATTATCGAATCATGCTTTGTCGAACTTGACCAGTATTACAGTTTTTTCCAATAAACAAGGTTAACAAGCGAGTGCCCTAGAATTTAGAATGATCCAAGCTTCAAATCTATTCAAAGCTATTTTTTTAAGTTTAGATGTCTGAATCTACTGCATTTTTCGAACATTTTTTTGACAAAAAATCATGAAATATCGTCACTTATAGAGAGAATTCTTTTTTTTAATTGAAAGACTAGTATTGCAAAACAGCAACACATTTAGATATGTCCTATCTGCTTACAAAAAGTTTATCATTGATAAATTGACATTTTTATTTGTGGTATATGAACTGAAGTTTCAAACACTATTACTAGTTCATTAGCAAATAGCTAAATTGAAATATACAGTAAATTGAAATCGAAATTTTGAAATTCATAGTTGCGGGAAAACAGCAAGCATTGATATAAAGTAAAAACTCATTTAATACCCGAGCATTACAGCACTATGCATGACAAGTGAAAAATCAAGGATAAATTTCAAAAAAAAAATTGGTAGGATAACTTAACTTGCCAAGCATAATGTAATAATAACTCCACAGGTTTATAGCTTGAACATTGTATATAAAACGAGTCAATGGAGAAAGCTGTTCACCTTATTACATAATCCAGTTATGAAATCGTTATCAGAACAACATACTCCAGAAAAAGACTGAAAATTTGGTGTTACACTTTATCTAAGACCCATAATCGGCAATATTGAAATAATCAACAGTTTCATCAAAGTGGGACAAAATATCTGGGAATGACTGACTTCATGTAAACATTAAGTTTTGCATTTAAGCTGATATAAATATACAGTTACTAGTCGAGTAACTAAGAAAATCTTACACGGAACATTAAAATCACATAACACCTCACATGTTTATAACGCTCGAGCATCGTGCCGGCGAAGACATAAATCAGTGTAACTTAGGTACAAATCGATTACACTTTTTGGAGAAGAAAACAAAGCCAAACAACACTCGAGTGCAAATTATTGTAGGAAAAAAATTTAATCGCTATCAACGAAACCGTACAAAAATGGATAAAAAGCACACATAGGCCGCTCGAAGACAGAGAAAGTGAGAGAGAAATCGTTACTGTACTCCCGAGTAACACAGTGGGCCGGTAATATTAGTTATTGTCGGCAGATCAGTTGAAAATGAATAAGAATTAATGATAAAAATGCGAAAAGCGCACATTGTAAGACCTTGCGTAGTCAGAAAAATTCCTAACTCTAATTCAATAACAATAAGAAAATACCGTAAGTCAAATTATGAACCATTGGGCTAAGTAATTCTGACAATGCTCAAGCATCAAAGCATGTATGACAGTTATAATCAAATATTTATATCCTAAGAAAACTTTGGGAAAAAAACACCTTTATGTCACTTATCATTTCATATGCAGACTTGGTATGGTTATACGATGAATTGTTTTAACAAAATTTATGTATTCCGAGTTCTTATACAGTTTTCGCTGAAACGTACTTTAAATTGGGAAATAACAGAATTCATGTAATGATTTTAGGTCAATTGTATCGAATATTTGAACTAGGAAAAATGCAGAGAAAAATCAAAATCGAAAAACAGCATGTCATTCAGACAGAAACATTCCTAACTTTGCCGAAATTAGAAAACCAAAATCTATCACAATAAACAAGCCAATGAAATGAATTATCTGCATTAATTACAAAGTAATATTAGAGAACACAATACATGAACGGCGTCGATTTGTATATGAATTTAAGTCAAATGGACATCAAACATTTTATACAGATATCGAAGGACACTGAAAACAAATGAAACTGAAAGACAGGAAGGAAAGAAAATGCCAAGAGTCGCCCAGTCGGTATTCAAATCGCAAGAGTGTAGATATGTAATCTACAAATCAAAATATTGGGTCTGACAACTGATTGCACTTTTGGCATTCCCTTGCCGGAACTCATAATAGTTATCACGGGGAAATTAGGTAGAAAAGATTGCTAGACGCTTGATACAATGTCTCGCTTGAAAGAGGTGCTGAATTTACAGTCTGAACAATAATAATAAATACACCAGAACAGATGGTATTAGCACAATTTCAACTGGTGGCAAAAAGGAAATAGTGATAAAGTCCAAGTATTTTAAACAGCTATCCTTTATAAGAAAACTGTGACTGAATTGTATACATTTTAGTAAATAGCTAGCAAATGATCACCGTCGACCAGGGAAATTATTAGGACGTTGACCTTCCCTTGACCCACCCCAGTCTCTTCGTGGTGGACCACGTTGTTGTAAACGACCACCGCGGTTATTATCTCGACCAGATTCCCACCGACCTGGACCGGGTCTTCGTCCACCATCGCGTGACATCGCTCTCTGCTTCTTTTCTTCGATGTTAATTCTCTTATTATTCTTGAATGTAGTCGGCATCAAACGTAGAACTTCCTCCACAGCTTTGTGATCTTCAAAGATTATGAAACCAAAGCTTGGATTGCTCGTATTCGAATGATTAATTCGAATTTCAACAATTTCACCATATTCAGAAAAGTGTTCACGCAGATCGGATTCCGTAATTTCTAGAGGAAGATTTCCAACAAAGATTTGCTGGTTATCGGGATAACGACTTTGACGTCGTCCGCCCGGATCTCCCATGCCTTCACCCGAACCATCTCGCTGTGAAGTCACCGGAGGTCTAGAACTACGAACTTGTTGCTTTTGCTGATCCATGGACGGGCCATCATTCGATTGGTTAACTTTAACAACGGTGCCTTGCTGAATGTTGTGCTGTGCTGGTGTATTTTTCGATGCCAGAGCAGCCCAAGAGTAAGGTTGAACAGGTTCAGGTTCCTTATGTGGTACAGAATTAATGTTGTCTGTTGGTTCTGGTATATCTTTTTCTGCAGTTTCTTCCAATTGAGGTTCTTCATTCTCATTTGAGTTAGGATAGACTGGAGATTCGTTACGAGGTTCAATGTCGACAGGTTCAGTATCTTGAGCATGGTCAGATTCGGTTTCAGATTCAGGATGATTTGGGGGAGAAATTGCCAAAGCAGGAGAATCTTGATCATCAGAAGTGACAGGTTGAGAATCCAAACGAGGTTCCAGGTCATTATTGATAATTTGAGCAGCCTGATTCTGAGAGCCAATATGGTTGTCAAATTGTGTTGGTTGAGGTGGTGGTTGTTGTACATTTACCTCCTCATCCAACTCTTGCTCTTCCTCAAGATGTTCCTGACGTCCTTCATCTTGATACACCTCATCTTCATAACGAAATATATCATTATGAACATAAAACTTGTATGGGTTATCCCCCTGGGGTGCCAAAACAAAGGTCTGCATAAACCTGCGCAGAGGCTTGCGATTGTTGGAAAGCTCACCAATCACTTGTACCACAACCCCGTTGCTGATGGTAGCATGAGCATCGACTTGGTATACTTTAGTATGGCATTCCTTGAATTGCAATGAAGTGATCTTCTTATGAATTGCCATCTGTCCAACAACCTCTTCTTCTGGCTCTCCATTGCAATAACGGCTTCCATGCACATAAGACGAATTCACTCCATAGAACCTGTGTAATATTTCTGGTGCCTTGTTCAGAAGGGAATAATATTGGCGCACAAATTCCCTCCCTACCTGGAAAGGACTTGGATGATCCATTCTTACCATTTCTTGATGAAAGTTTCAGAGTTTGAAGCAAAATTAGTGTATGTGCACCAGATTTTTTTTTGTTTTGTTCCTATTTTCAAATTAAAAATAAAATAGATTATAGTAAGACTTCAATATAAATTACAAACATTAAATGTTGTTGCCTAAATATGGATAAAGTGAAATCAGCAAGTAAAAATATCTAACACATTGATTTGATTGCATCTCAAGATTTTTCAAATTTTTAAAATGATCATACAACTGGTGACCAGTAACTTTCGATTTCCACACATAGCTTTGTTTGCTAAGGTTCAGTTGAGAGTTATAAATATAAATTTAATGAAATATAGGAATTATTGAATCAAGAAAACAAGTGAAAAAACCTTCATCGAATTTAGTAAAATAAGAACACTGTTACATAAGTAAGTGCACTTATTAAATACTTTTCAGTTCCTTATAATCGAGCTGAATATCTGATGAAATTTGTATTCTATTTGACAAATGATAACTAGTGCAAAATTCCATTTTGTGCAATGCAATGGCAGAGTTAAAGCCAAATTAAAAATAAGGGTATCACAAAAAAGTTGTTAGAAGTGCATTTTATAAATTCAAGTTTTGGTTTAAATTCGCTTCATGAAAATTTAAAGGTAGGTCTCATATCGCTACACATTATGCAAATTGACATTATGTAAATTGGAACATATTTGAAATCTAAAATCTAATTAATTAATTAATCTGAATTTACAGTTTTTCTCAATCCATGAATCTTTATTTGGAATAAAAATTATGTAAAAGAGAGCTAACAGACTAAGTCGGTAAGTCTCAGGTTTGAGGGAAATAAAAATAGAGTTTGTATACAAAACCATCCGATCAATGCTCTATATAAAATGATTTTACTAAGTTCAGAAACATTTATGAAAAGCCAAATTTTGAATGTCATTAGCTTACAAAATACAATCGGTACCATACAGGTACTGCGTTTTTGTTCTCATTAATACCTGAATACACTAAAATGATATTAAATAGATGAAAATTATGCAGACATATACCGGTAGCCTAACTGTGGCATTTCATTTATTTTTAGGCTCTATGATTCAACTACAGAATTAGCAACCTTGAAAATGCTGAATTGCATGCATGCTCCTTCAGTCAGCCCTTGTAAAACAAATGACCTAATCTTGTACTATGTTTGAACTTTCAGACAAGTTTGACAAATCTAATAACGCTCACACAGCTGTCAAACAGCTTTTAACTAAATCTGTAAATGGCTAATCCAGTTACTGAGAATTTCTGGAATACGGCAAATAAAATATGCACATTCAGTAGGCCTATGTGTTATTTTATTTGCTTCGGCATTATAATTTTAAAAACCCTTGGTTTGATAAGTCGTGCTTCCGATGGAATATTCTAGAATTGGAAACAGGGCAGGAAACAACTGAAATCTGGAAAAAAGCGAAGAGAACTTGCGAATGACAAAATGAAGTAGACTGGAAACGTTTCAAATATGACATCTTGTTGTCCGGTAACTTCAAGCGAAACTATTGGATCAACGGTGAGAAATTTCTTTAGTTAAACAATTATTTCGTACCTAAACCTTTTAACCTAATTTATCCCTTACCAAAACGCTATGAACACGCCAAATGCGCGCCGCTTTTCGCGCAGCTGGCTATAGCACGCGCCACGGGCGATAGAGCGGCGAGGCGAATCGATGAAGAAAGAAACGGGCGAGACGCTCTAGCGCCCCCATTTCGCGAAAAGCCGTTTAATAATGCTCTAAACACCGGACGAAAAGACCGAAAAGCTGTCAGCAATTTTAATCTGTTAAAGCGTAAATATGCTAAAGTGCACGCGTGATATGTTGTTGAACCATTAACTATGGCTGAACAGTAATAATATTTATGAAAACTGGTTCATGGTACTTTCAATATAATTTGAAAAGTATATTCTCATAATATCTCAGTGTAATAATATATACAAGTTGGCACAAAATATTTTTTTGAATTTTTTCAACACATGTAATATTTATATTGTTGTTTTGTAACAGAACAAAACTTTTGTTCTTGTTCTGAGAATATTTTTGCAATTTGCCCCGTATTCATATTTATTTAGGGCTATATGCATATTTCTAAAATATCATTAATTCAAATTATTTATGTAGTTGCCTGTTAAAAAATAATAGTCCGGCCTTGTTTAATATTGTCACCTTGGCTATATCTATCTTATCATTACATACACACATGCATACACTGTGGCGGATGTTTACACAATCAAACGGGCGCCTGATAATCAGATTAAAAAGGTGCCATAGAAATATGTTGAATTAACGTTTCCCTACCAGGGAGGAGTCCATTCCCAGGGGAGGGGGGATTTTGAAGTTCTGGGTGAGAAAATATCATTTTGTACTCGGTGTATCTTCCAATTCTTTTTAGTTATTCAGCATTATTGTAACAAGTAATTTATGGATATATTAAAAACTATCCAAACTTTGCAAAAGCCACTGGACGAGTTATGTGTAGCACTAGTTACGGACTCATTAAAGATTAAACAAAAACGGAAACGAGAGTTTTTATGACACAGCACGCAAAAGGTTGGATTTATCGAGAAAGATTAGAAATAACTGCCTTAAATACTTATTAATCATTTATTACCTTCTCTTACCGCAATAAATAATTTCTACAAGAAAAAGGTGAAAAGTACCGGTATTTGAAAAACTTCAGGTTGCTTTTCCGCCATTTCTATCTATTTTAATATATTCGATTATTTTGTTCTGTATGTATCTATTTGGTTGCTTTCTCTGCTAAACATCAGAGGTGTAGATTAGTGGTGATTGAGTGATGATACTTCAGCATAGCACATCGGGTGGCGCTTTATCACGAATGTATTAATTGTAAATAAAACCGACCCACGAAAAAGGGTGCTGTTTCTGATTGAATATTGCTTATTGTTCGCTATGCTAATTTAGGAAACAAAACAATGATAACAAAAATTTCAAATTTTTAAAGATAACAAACATTGATTTTATTTCATTTATTTTGTTATTCAGGCCACACCGAAGTTCAATTTGTTATTGTTGCTTGCATGAACTGGGATCCGGTGCTGGAGGAGGTGCTTCACTGTCTGAACTTGATACTTCTCGGAATTCAGCTACTTTCATTTTCATTTCTTCCTTCATATATTCTTTGCGTAAATTTTCATCTGGTCACAATGAATACATTACATTAATTTGATACTCAGTACGACGAAGAAAATATAAATTACTTTAAAGGTAAAAGAATATATACCCAGGAACAAAAGAGCAAAGCTCAAATATATGGACACGAAAGCCAAATCAAAATATTTTACCCACAATTTCCCCAAAACTATATCCTGATCGAAGCTGGAACTGTGGAACGGCTATTGTACATGTGGGTTTAGTGTAGTTTAGTACCGCTAGTACTTCTAGTGGGCGTGGCGTAAATATTTTTGCATAATATACGTCACTCCTGACACCCACCTGACTACACTCGACCCCCGGTTACCGCCCCCTTGCAAAACATTTCCCTGGAGCGAGAACCGACTTCTTAAAATTAAAGCGGAGACAGCTCTGACAGCCATCACGCTTGGCGGAGTAAATACTGTGTTCCCATGAATAAAAATACTACAGCAAAATTTTGGGTGACATATCAGATGTCGTGAAATAAAATCGAATTTTGAACAGGTATGTTCTGAGAGGAAAAGAATTATTGTTTTCCGACATATCATTATTACCCAGAGATTGAAAATTCGTTGTGTAGGAGGATTAGAGTCGAGGTATCTGAATTGCGAGGCCAAAACCCTGACAACAATCCATCACAGCCGAAAACTTAGCTGAATCTTTGTTTTACACCTTCAAAATGCTCAATACTGTGAAGTGACATTACTGAAAATTGTCACCTTTGAGAATATCTTTCCCCATTGAGCAAAGGGGAATATCATCTTCGCTGTTCTCGCACAAGATGTGCCTGTTGTCAACTTTTGCCCCCCTTCGTCCCTTTTTCATACAAGTTGTGCCTTCATCAAGCAAGTGTAAATCACAAGGACAAACATCTGGATTACTAACGTCGTATTCTGAGGTTGATGGAGTGGCAGATTCTGTATTGCAAAAGTAGATACACATATTATGACAGAAGCTACCCGTGAAAATGGGACTCATGCAAGGCTGAGCATTTCAGCCTTGGCATAATGCCATAAAGAGAAATAAGACTTATTACACTTCATTCGGTAATGCTGGAAATATTCAAGTTGCGATATATTTGCAACGTACCGCAGATATTTGGAAGTAAATACGGATTGTAGGATAGATTCAAAATCAACAAAAAGAACCTTGCCTCTATCAACTTCGCGCTCGGCATTCAAAATATTAGCCATTCCGAGATTACTGGTATGGAAATGTGGTTATACTTCAGACAAAATATTCTAATTCGAAAATAAATCTGAACTTTTCAGTGGCGCAATTTTGTAACCAAATGTGTAACAGTTTCATAGTTAAGTGTCATATTTCTTGACGTGAGTGAGTTACTTTTGAATTAAAACCACGGAAGGTGAATTTGTAAAAATAATCTGTGGGTGAGTGTGCATCACGAAATAAATACCGTATAACAGTTGAAAAACAGTAAGGCCATTGCAAGGTCAATAATTCCATTGGCTAAGTATTCCCAGTTTAATTGTGTTACCTTGAAGTGCATCAGATGCAGCAGATGAGCTAAGCAAATCACTTTCATCAATTTTTGCATTCTCATCACTGGGGCATGGCGAACCTTGATGGAACTTGATTTTTTTCTCTTTTTCAGCAACAGAAGATACTATTTCATCATCATCTTCATCATTGATCAAACACCTGCGTGGCTTTATCCGCCCCCTGGGAAGCAAACCAATGGTTTAAGTAAACAAATAAATTTCAACTTCATAGTTTTCCAGGCTAATGGTTTGGGAATGCAGCCAAATATTGCGAAGCGCTTGTTTGTTCGGACTAACAACATATTAAGCTCGATATGTTTTCCGAACAAATACTCGAACGGCAAGAATAGATAAATAGAATTAACGTAACAGTAGGCTTTGTCTGCTTCAAATCTAAATTATACGAAGAAAGACGGTATTAAATGGTGTTGAAGAAACTAAATGTTACTTTCCGTTGTTCACATTTTTCATTTAGGATTAGCATTCAAAGGCGTTTGAACCCATTAATGAAAAACAAGTCATTAAATAAACATTGCATATTTTGTGTTGCTGCCTTCAAACCGGCTGTGAAATGGCAGATCATCCATTAAAATTGCTTTTGAGACCACATGTCCATCGCTACTTCTAACAAATGTAGTATGTGCGATGTTGTGTTAATATTTTACAATATATTTGAATATATTCATAAATATTTTTTCCAATGCGAATTACTTTGTAGAATCTCGGTCAACTTTTTTCCAATTTCCTCTTCGAAACTGACCACGAATTTTTTCAAATGCACGATTCACACTTGGCGGATCACCGTCTGACCTGTTAAAAAATCGATACTTTAAATTTGCTTCCAAATTTTTCAAAATTCCAAATGCATATTCATGCAGATTACGACGTTTCAAGTTACGTGGCTGACAGACGACGAGGTTTGATATAAGTAGACATGCAACCGATTATATTTTTTTACAATATCGCTGACCTGTCGCGTTTCGTGTGACTTATAAGACACATATACAGCTGTATTTCAATTCTTATAGATTCAGGGCGATATAGATTAGTCAACTTCTGTTCCTTGACTGATAGGTTTTAGAGCTGGACCTATTTTGAACTTCCTATTATTTTCGTTTACAGACTAAAGAATATTTAAATTTTAAACAAAAGAACCTCTTAAATTCCCAATACCAACCTGTAGTTATTTTCATCATCTGCTTGGTCTCCTTTGTGTGAAGCAAGTCCGGATGAAGGGATATCGCTATCAGCTGAAGAATATGTATCACGGCATACAGCAGACTCTGGAACATCTGGGATGAGTTGTAAGTCAAGAGGACAAGTCAGAGGAGCGCCGGGCTGTGGTTCAGTTGAAACAAATGGTTGGTGGAATGCAGTGTGTTCGTTGGCTAGACAAGAAAAAAAAAACAGGATTATAAATTCAGTAATCTGTCTAAACGATTAGATATTATAGTATGACACAACTAACGTTTTAGGTTAAAAATGAAGTGATTATGCTGCAGTGAGTACCAAATGAAAATCCAGAATTCTTGAAACAAAATTGAGGAAAATGTCTCAAACGCCTAGTTGTGAACGACAGTTTCTGTTTGCCTTGCTGAGTGCTAGAATATATATATTATGAGACAAGTAAACGAAACTGAATTATATATATATATAAAATGGAAATAAAATTTAAATTTCAAGGTATGTACAGTACAGTTGAACTAAGAATCAGAAGATTTTGAACACTACAATTGATTTCGTTATTTTAATTTCAACATTGATACCTTGGTGAATAATAGTGTTGACATTCTTGACAAGTTCAGATACTTTTCTACGAGAATCATCAATCTCTGATCCGCCAATCGCGGGAATACCAGTATGCACATTCTGGGTTGAAACATCTTTTTTCTGATCAGCATCTGTCTGATCTGTTTTTGACGGAAATACCATAATGTCATCAACATCATCATAACTTCTAGCTTGATTAATTTCTATTTGCGACTGTGGTTCTGGTGCACCATTCGGCGGAGATTCAACTACAACGGAGGGTGTTTCGCCAACGTCCAGGACTTGTTCAGGTGCAAGTGACTGAGGCGGTGGGATAGTTGGAGCCGAAATTACATAAGCAGGATTTACAGAATAAGCGTGATGAACTCTTTGAGAAGCTTTGAATTTATCAATTGATTCAACATGAGATACCGTGTCAAGCAACGATTCTGCAAAATAAAGATGACACTTATAACCAATAAATAATTAAATAATTTTTATACGAAAGTTATTGCCGAGTATAGAGAAATTTCCAAAGATTTAGTTGTTTTACGAAAGTAAAATGGTGTAGCATATATGTCATAATAATATATATATAAGTATACATAATATATGTCAGCAAAATGTATGCCAACAACTATAGTAAATCGGCATATTAAACAAATTAAAGCGTTACTACTATATCTCATTTAAAGCAGGGGTGTGCAACCTTTGATACGTGAGGCCCAGATACAAACAACTGGGCGAAACCGCGGGCCGCACCTTTATTTGACATAGGCTTCCTAGTAGTTGCAAGCACAAAACTTTTGGTTATTAATCTCGTTACATGTGTTGTTTGCATTGCACAAGCTAGTTGTTAGTGCATTGTAACGTCATTAACTTAGATAATAAGTTTGACTCAGGTATGAGCTTTGCGGCAAAGTATTGGAATTACTCGTACGAGTCGTACTTACCAGATTAAACTAAATTATAAACTCGTTTCGCGAGCCGCACACAATTTAAAATTGGTACTTCTCCGCGGGCCGCACAATTTTTTCTTGCGGGCCGCGTTTGGCCCGCTGGTCGCAGGTTGCACACCCCTGATTTAAAGCATTATGCGTATAGGACATGGTCTCAAATAGACATGATTCGACAAATGGCAATGTAACTCACCAGCAGGCGACGAAGCTTTTGTTTGTAGACCAATTCTTTTACAGGATCTATATATTGCAAAAGCTCTTGGGACTACAACATCACGAATGTACGAGCCTAGTTCGTAGTCTCTAAAAATTGGTTCAAAATGTTTAGTAATTTAGAATTTGTACTCAACAATGGAGTACATGTTTTTCGACAGTATAGATGATAGATTATATTCAAATTGAACATAATGGAAACTTAAAACAATGATACTTCATTTAAATCCATCAGATTAAATGAATACGATTATGTAGCACATTTGACCGAGGTAACGTTCAGGGGGCGATTCTGGGTCCTCTCATGTTTTAAATATACATAGTTTAAATACCTCATTCAATCAAATTGCATTCATCCGTGGATCGGGAGGGGCTTGAATGCAATAAGCTCATACTAACAACTAGATAACAAATAGGCAAATCATTTCAATTACCTCGTTATGTATATTCGTATCTCATCTTTACCAAGTTCGATTTCTCTCGTTCTATCATTTGTCAAAATTCGATTAGAATAAATGTCCCAATTCCAACCAAAGAAATCGAAAAATGAAGTATCCAGTTCTCCTAAGCTCTCACCAGAAGAAGAGGTTTTCACCGATAAGTCTGATGATGCCATCCACGGTCTTCTCCAGCGCGCAGAATCGTGACCTAAAATGTTAATATGCATTAATAAAACGATCGATAATTTTATTTTGTTTCAATTTTAACGTAAACGATTCCAAGTCTATTGCTACAAGAAGTTATTAAATATTTATGCATACTTTTATTCCGTAAAAGGAATCGCTATCGAAAAGCGTTTTAATTCAATATAAAGTGAAAAATTGGCCACCTGTTCCTGTATATTCAATGTTTTTCTGAAAATTAAATTTTCTGAAAATTATAAAGTTATGAAGAACAAATTTGAGATGCTAGTTAACTTTGTTTTTTTATGGTACACGGAAGGCTCGACATTTACTCATATCATTCAAAAATGGGCATTGCTCTTTACTAAGTCTTTAGATGACTAAATCGTCTGTATTGTTCGGAACAAAAGTCATTACTACTGACTAATCGTCCAAAATACAATATATAGTAGCATAGTAGCCTATACAATAGTTCTGTAATTGTGCGGTAATAAATAATTGAATTTCAATTATTTTTGTCTGTAGTGTTAAAAGTTTTGGTTATTTAAAAAACACTTGCCCTTTTTGGAATCAGTTCTGCGTTTTTTCCATTTGATTGTACTTCCTTCAATTGCAACTAATCTTGGTCCACGATAATCAAGAATCCTGTGACAACGATGTTTCTTTGTTCTTATTCTCGATTTTCGGAATTTGTCTTCCTTTTTACGTTTTGAAACAGGACCATCATTTTCCGAATCAGTACTTAGTTCATCTCCGCCATCACTCGTACAAAAATAGACCTTTCTTGTCAAACAAATACGAAGCTCGATTAAAGTTTAATATCACTAAGCGATTGATGAGTCGTATTATATGTTAGAAACGCTCATGTCATTGCGCCAAAAATTTGTGGTTGGTGTTAAATGTCAACGAGAAGACTGCTGGACAACGCTAGTCGGTCCAGATTTGTTACGTTACTATTTGAAGGCAGTTCTGCGTAAACCTTCTCTGATGTTTCTCGAAAAAGTCGAATGGGATGTCAACAATTTTGACTTTTTGAATTCGGAAATTGAATATGACTTATGCAACAAACATTCCGATTAGTGTAGGGGAATATAGCACGTTTGAAGCTCGCTCTTATCTAGTGACGTAGTGACGACACAGTTACCAAGGTCAATTTTCTGATTGTCTGAATATTATGAATAGTCCGAGAGGTATTATATTACTGTAGCTTTGTCATACCTTACTTGTACAATCTTGTGGTGTCATAAATGTTTTGTATTGCTTTACTTCAATGTAATCATCATCATGTGGTTTGAAATCGATCAAATAACGTTTGCGTAAAATCTTGTTTGATATGTGCTCGTTAGGATAAAATTCAAATTCAATTTCAAATCCCAAGGCCCTATTTGTATCGTTGTCTGTACTACTCTTGTCGTTAGTTGTCGTTTCAGAATTACGGTGGCATGCTCTGGAGGATGGATCTATAGCTTCTGGAAGAAAAGATAAGTATTATTTGTTGAAAATGGGAAAAAGTCATACTTGAGGGAGAGTTTAACTTGGTGTCTGTGGACAAAAGCGAGATCAATGTCCGCCGTTCAATTTCTGTTAAAAATCAGTTTATTTGTGAAATAAAAAAGTATGGAATATAAACGTAATTGAAAATTCCTAAAAAACACAAACATAGCGCCAACATCAATTTCATTGTGTACGTATTTAACACCACAATGGGATCGAGGATATTGTCTGAATACTGAGTTGCTCGAAATAAAATGTTGACCTATGAACTTGGCTCAAATATAGAATCTGAGGTCTAAGATCTACTTAAAAAAACATGATTAATACAATAGAATTTATCTATAGCATCAATCTCGCCCAGAAATTCACAATGAAGATAAAAAAAACAAGAGAGCTATGCTCAAATATATGGACACGTAGCGCCACTTAATGGCTAAAATTTTGATGACGTCATAGCAAAAAAAAAAGTAATAGCCTTCCGAAGAAAGCCTATCTTTAACCACTAAAAATCTCAAAGCAATTGGTCCAGTAATCAAAAGGAGAAGCGACTTTTTAAAAACGTGTCAAAGAACAAGAACAACATGATATTGAAACGATCGTTATGTCCACTTCATGTCCAATAAAAAACAACCTATAAGTAACGGGCATGTACGTGAGATATAAAGGTTATTACCTCGTCCTGTACTTCCAACATCATTATTTGAAGTATGACTTGGCAAGGAAACTGACTGCCGAGCGGACATTTTAGGTAATTTTGTTTTTAATGGCGGATGTTTGCGTGCCACTCGTACGTCTGACTTGATATCTGGTGACTCCGGCCAAGGAGCAGTGAACAAATGCACACGAACATCGCGTAAATGAGTCAATATTTCTACATCGCGCGCATTCAGCATTCCACTCAACATAGGCTCAGAACGTTGAAATACATAAAACCAGAACTTGTGTGGTTTGGCGTCACAATCATTACAGTGTGAAGTTTGGTACATTGCTGCAAGAGTATCAAATAAAAACTGTTATTATTGGATAACCTGCAGGAGAAGCATGCGAGGGGTCAGAAATAGGAAAATTCTCTGCAAATCAACTGAACCTTGTTCACCGAGTTTTTACGACAAATGAACAATCTTTTGGCGATTTCGTGATCTATGATAGTGAATGTATTACCCATCTAAGTGTAAACTCTAACTTGCCCTGCGAATGCAGCATTAGGTGTTTCGTAAACACTTACCGTCGGAAATATGACACAGCATGCGAGCAAGTCCAGCCCACTTCTCTTCTCCAAATGTTTTGGCAAATACTTTAGCACAGCACTCGAACAGCTCACACGATGGCAAATGAGAAGTATTTGCAACGCCCGCACTAGTCGATGGGGCCAATGGACCAGCACTCGCTTTTGGTTGTTGTTTAGAAATACTGGAAATAAACAGTAAGTTGTCTGAGTCATTATCGTCAAAGAGAATGAATGACTTCTTTGAAATATAAGAGTATGCCGCAATAAAATAAACAATAAATGTACAATATTTTAATAAAAAATAACATAATTTTGAGTCAGTATGCTTTCATTACGAGATTGAAAAAAAATATTGTCTGATTGGATATTTTAATTTAAATACATTTGATCAAAAAGTAAACTGATTATTATTAATGTCTTGTATATTATGCTTTTGGGGTATATAGTTTTCCCATGAATTTTGTATGGAACGAAAATAAGCGCATTCCATCAATTCATTGGTAACATAGACTGTTTATGTCATGCTTAAATCCCGAATTTTTGGATATATACTAAACCTGGTCCTGTGATTGTTTCTCTCATGTTTCCGATGATGTTCCTTTGGTTCCACACTGTTTAGTACTTTAGCTGCTTCGAGTAATTTGTTTCGCAGTTTGCATAGTGGGGAATAATAGTTCGTTATATATGAATTTTCGAGTTCATGCAAATCTTTTCGAAAACGACTTTCTAACATCACCAACTGGTTGTGAACCAACACTAACGCAGAATCCACAGGAGGAGCAGCATGAGGGCGTTTCTGGAAATAAGTTCATAAGCACTAATAAAGATGCCCATAAAACATGTAAATAAGAATCTGGAAGATATGTCACAATTTAAAAGGTCCAGTCTGGAATGCAAAAATATAATCCAAATCTCCGATCTCTGAAAGTAATTAAATTTTTTTGATACTTTCTATATTATTTTTTTATTCCGGTAGAATTATTACATATAAGATTTAAAGAATACCCACTTTGAAATATCAGGTATTCAATGCTTTATACTTTATGTTTATACCATTGATTCATTTCAGCTCGGAGAGTGTGTCCTGCCATATTATGAAAAAGATAATATAAATTTGATTACTCGGCTCAAGATTCGCGGTACTCTTGTTTTTTCGAGTTTTCCCGCTGGTACCGGAACGAAGCTGTCGACGTCATCATTCTCCGGTAGATTTGATACAAAATCGGACTGCATTGGTACTATACTTTCAGACACTTCAGTATTGACCTGAACAAGAAAAAGTGCTTCCATTATCTTTCCACCCACGTTCATTTGAGTGCTTGTGTCTGTGCCGGGTGTAAATGTCCGTGGGTGAAATGAGGGTGCAAATATCGGTTTGTGCAAGAATATGCAGGTGCAAATGTCCTGAATGTAGTTTACGGGTGCATATTACGGTACGTGAATGCAAACGCGCTATTACTAAAACTAAAAGTTGATTGAAATTCGTCGAACATTCTCATATATCCATACCAGTGCAAGATGTTATATATATATATGATTTCGTGTGCAGAGTTGGCCTGATCGCGTAGCGCCACAATATATTAAAAATAACACAATGCTAATGTATTTGTTGGATTCTATCACGTATGAACTGAACATTCATCGATTCATCTCTGCGTGTCACTCAAATTACCTATAATCTGCAAATTTGGCGTCATTTCCGGATTATTCCGACTCAAGAAAGTTATCTAATTTATATTTACCTACTTCATAATTTGTGATGACATATTAATTAACAAATTATTTTATAGGTTTGGATACATACACGAACTCAATACATATTCAACGTACCCCATCGACTGAAATTGAAGTAGCCAGGCGACTGTCATCAGATTGCGATTTAGACACGCTCAACTCAGTTTTATAGCTGGGATTCTGCCATACTGTATTCAATTGGCTCTGTGGAACAATGAAAATATTTCTTTATATTAAGGTGTGACCAAAGAAACTTCATTACGATTTGATATTACCTGCATACATTCACGATGCAAAATAAAAAGTCATCAATTCCCGAACAGTCGCGTACAAATAATAATAGTAGAACAGTAACGTCTTTCGCAAAGAATCGAATAAGGTCAATGCCATTGGAGTTAGACTAAATGAGTTGAAAATAAAATCATCACACAATCGTTTCAAGCTTGAATTACCTCATTATATTGAGTGCGCTTATGTTTCGTCTTTCTTTTTCTGCTCGGTGCAGTACTTTGGCTCCCATCGATGTCGCCATTTTCTGAGGAAGAGATCCGCTTTAGATATTCGCTTGAAAGCGAGCTTGCTTTATTCCTTTTTGATAATGACATCCGCTTTTTCTTGGCCGGCGGAGGCTTTGCTTTACGTTTTGGCGCCATCCCTTCATCTTGTTCCGACCAAACTTTGTTGGTACAAAAATATTTATATTGCTGTATTCGACAAAACATTAAATCTCTTTGTTCGATCACAATGGTCGATAATACCTTGTCAATAACAAAAGGAAATTTCCAAACAAATCTGGGGAAATCCTCTCTATCACAGTTTTTTTACCACGAAAAAATAGATTTCGAGTTTTGATATTTATTGCAAATGTGAGAGAGAGTTTCAACAACTACATAATTTATGACGATCACGACACGACAATATTACCTTATACTTGCCTGAGAATAGGTATATACAATATTTTACGGACCGTAAGGCGCACTTTGAATCCGGCGCGCGTTATGATCCGTAAAATACTTGTATGTCGAACCACTTCTGAATTGTCCACATCAGGCGCGCGTGATTGCCTAGAATAGATGACTGTGTTAAACGTAACTCATTAAAGCAGGGATGGGTTAAGGTTTTTGCAAGTGGAATATTCAGAAAATTGAGAAATCTAATGTGACGTCACAGTTACTATTCTCATTCGCTATGACAGTTTCGAATGGGATGCGAAAGTCGACATGACGAAACGCGTGCGGCCCTGCCATCTAAGGCCAGTATTTTCCCCAAATTTCAATTTTAATTTTTTTGGGGAGCGGGGGTGTTTCCAAATTTAGGTGGTGGAAGAATTTTTGCAACTCGTTTTGGGGTCTTTAATTGCAGAAAGCTATGTGACTAATATAAAATTGAATCGTAAATTCCAATGAATCATGTGGTATTTGTGTCTCCCGAAAATGGTAGTTCAATTTTAAAAGGATGGAAAAAAGTATACAAAACAACAAATTTCAATATTTTATATGACAATAATCTGGAGACTGAAAAAATAGAATTACGCCGATAGGCAGAATTATTGCTGAAATCAAATTGGCACCCAAGTTTAGTGAAGCGTCAATTTTTTCAAAGTTTATAATTCTCGAGTTGGTGAGTCAAGTGCCATCCGAGTCGATTACGGAATCCCAACGGATTTGAAAAATTGCGTCGATTCACTGTATTCTGGAGTCCCTGCTATTTCGTGTAATAAATAGATGGGCATAAGTCGAAGTAGTTTTTATAAACAAGGGTAAATTAATCATTCACTAACTTATGTGCCCCAACACTGAGCAATTGATAGTTTCAAAGACAAAACTGGAAGGGGAAGGTGGGGCACATTGAAAAATCAGCTCTCCGACTCTTACTGTACTCGTATTTATGTATGTTTTCGATGTTTGAATCTGCCTTTCGGTGCGGTACGACGCCCGTCCGCAAACGGGCATCGGCCGTTCAGAGCGACATACTACTGTCCGGTATTTCTTTGCTTTAGCCCACTTGGGGGTTTCAGTCTGAAATAGTTTGATGCCTAACAATGGAACAATGCCAAATCCCTCCAAATTTGATGCCCAGAGTTCTTGAGATGCTGATTCTTCGCTGGTTTTCAACGGCATGTTTCGTTCAATTTAATCGACCGCCCCATTGTGCACCAGGCAATTTTTTTGTCGAGAATAAAAACTACATTTGCCCCCCTCTGCATTAGTCCCGCAAGTCACAGACCTGTTATTGCTCAATTTCCTGTGGCTAAACTGTGGTTAGGTTATCAACCTCAGCCGGGTGCGGCATCGGTTATAGATGCATGCACCTTTGGCCTGAAGGAAACTGCAAGAACCGCTCAGTGAAGGCGAGTCCAGATTAAACATTTATAAATGCGCATAAAATTCGAACACACGTTGGCCAATAATCGGTGCGAATGACAAGCAGATTTTATGTTTAGGAGAATTTGCCTAACGTCGAGCATTGGCGAAAAAGGATGAGCCATAAAAAGTAGTCTTTCTAAGCAAACGAATTTATAAGTCCGATTAGATACACATCAATCTCCCGAATAATGATGAGAACTCATCGAAATGGACGATTCCCAAAGCATAGACTTCTTTAAGGTTCCATTACATTTGGACCCACAACAATTGCACCTATGGAAATTTGTTTTACGGATATTTGAACCCATACTAACCCTAACCCATGGGTTTTAGCACCTGCGTATAGATTGAACCCGCGGATATACACATGGACTCAAATGTACGGTCACCTTCTTTACATATTTCTGTCACAAAACTTAATCAGCGAGTCTACGGCGACGCAACAATTTAAGCAAAACGCTCAGATATCTTTTCACCGAAATAGATTTTTTAAGCAGGACTGTAAACACCGATTCGTTAGTTAGTTTCAACAAGGGTTCCAAAATTTAGGTATAAATCATATAATTCATTAGTCAATCAGTCTTTGGGAGCTTTTTAGTCTAGCGCTGCAGTAATCGAAAACAGGATTGGAATAAGTTGACTGAACTCGTTCGTGTGCCATTAAGCTTTTCCCACAGACACATCAGTATACATACGGTCTGTAAACTTATATCAAAAACGATCGATATTCTGCAAAAACTCTTTGCCAATAACACATTAAAAATATATACCGGCATTTGTTATTGTATTGCCTAGAAACCGTATTGTATTTCCAAAAAGGCAAGATATGTTCCTCCGAATACAATATATGGTAGTTAGTATTAAATATATTTATGTGATAACCAATTGGAAATTATCTTACCATGAAGGTCAATGCTGGCCTATAATAGTAATAGGATATAAAAAGAGAAAAAAACGGAAGAGCCACAAAAGAAACATTATAATTTCATTAGTTGAGTAGTCTCAGCAAATGTAATGAAATACAAGAAAATTATATTATATTGGTCGATTAGTTGATCTTGAGTAAAGCTATGATATAACAATAAAGACTCAAATAAAGCAATGGATACACTGAATTATATTTGTTTCTTTTTGTGCGACGAAGGTAACAAAATAACACCTAATAAACAAATGAGTGATCAGCTTCTCAAATGCGGCGATAGAGGGGAAATGAGTTATTCTTCTAAAATGGGGCAAAACAACTTCCTCACATTGCCAAGTTATGTCTACCTAAATTAAGCAAATGCCATGCATCCAAAACATTTGAGTGTGTTCAACAAGAAATAAGATTGTTTTAAATGGTCCCAGTTAGATAATTACTTGGTTAAGATTCAGTCTGTAGGTGAGAATGTTTTAACGGAAATTAAAGTTAAAAGCACAGATCTCGAACAAATTAAATGAAATTCGATGATATAACTATAGGAATAGATGAGTGAAATGAAAAGTAGTAAACAGAATTAGAGAGCATGCACAAAATTGACTACTGATACATGATATGGAATAATGTGAAATTGTGTGAACCTAGACTCTCAGATATCTGCTAGTTCATTTTTATTGTACATAGCAGCAGTAATTTCTGAAACTCGAAAGATAAATGAAAAATCATATTCGATGATACCTTATACATTTTCAAACATAAAAAATAGATAAGAGTAATATTTTAGAATTAGAAAAGAGGCAGCATAGTCAAATTATACCTTAATCCCAAAAATTAGTATTTAAAACTAAAGTCAGAAATATCATTCCATTAATTGCCTTCTGTGCAGATAGATAATAAAGTGCTAACAGTAAGAGAAACTATCCATCATTCTCTTTTTATTTCAATCCCAATGTCTTCAAAGCATCTTCCAACAAAATTCAGATTTTAAACAATGACTTTAACCAGATTATAAATGTATATTACATAACCCATATAAAGGCAACAATGCATACAACAGTATAAGAGATGTGAAACATTTTCCGACTAAGTAATGCAGTTCTATTTGATCCAGCTTCGATCACCTGCAACCCACAAGCATATTCAGGCAGGAATTTCAGATAGAAATTATCTCGACATAATTCCCAGGAAAAAGTCCTGTTACTCCATTCAGTACTCCTTCATACCAACCATCATCATTCTTCCTTACAACATACACGACTTCATCTTCTCGAAGTGAGAGTTCATCTGCGTTTTCAGCAGAATAATCATAGATAGCAATGACTGTAATTAAACATAAAATTCCATTGAAACTAGCAAGAAGAGGGGGGTATGGCTTCCATATTCCAATCTAGCGGAATCAGCATTTACCATGGAGAGTCATTTTAATTGACTTAAATAATATTGAGGCTTTTTCTAATAACTTAATCAGAATTTATTAATAGCTGTCTTACTCTTTAATCCCATCATAAAATAAAAGTGAAATATACAAGGATGATAAACAAAACATATTGATGATTAATTATACATTTGGGTTTTCTTTTAGTCACCTCTTTACAAACAAGATAAAGTCCGAATCAATATTGCACAAACTATGAACAAACATCGGACCTCCTGAAGTATGCGCACCAAGATGGCGCACAACCTGAAAGGTTGTGTACCAGGTTAGGGTTCAGGTTAGAGATGTACCGATGTATCGGTATCGGGTATCGGTATCGGCAATATCGGCCATTTTTTCGGTATCGGCCATGTATCGGTATCGGTTAGATTAAGGCCGATATTACCGATATATTTACCTTTTTGATATGGTCCAGAATGTTTTAAAAGATAAGTTGGAATTCTACTTTTTAATTTATTTTTGTCTGGAGAGATCGTGAGCTATGAGCCATACATGTCCCCACCCCTGCGAGAGAGTAGGATTCACGTGTTTTTAGCTATTTATCAGCTAAACTAGCTCAACTAATTTGGCTTTTTTCGCTGTCAAATTTTTATATTGACATTTTTAATATTACATAGTTTTTATGAAGAAATATATCAACACAGCACATAACAAAAAGCAACTAGGCGCCCAGTTTTAAATCATACAGTGGAATTGGGGTCCTTCCTTATTAACGGCACATGGACTTTTGGCACGGGTATAAATTCTGACTGTTTGTCGTCAAGTACAAGTGTCATTTAGTCCGTCGACATCGATAAACTAAATTCCGACACAATTATCCCACTACACAGGTATTAATTTTAATTCTGCTTAACTACACGATTTCTTTATAAATATATTGACTTGACCGCCTAGCCCTAGACTGTCTCAAAATATAGGATAGCAATTGTAAAATATTATAAAATAGTGGAGTAAAAAAACATCCTCAACGGTTATCGGTGGGCCTTCTTTTTGTCGTTGCTGATTGATATTCTTTCATGTTGGCTTTGACTTATTGCGTCGACGATTACGATTAGCCACTAAATTAAATATTTGTAAAATGCTTTTAATTTGAACGTAGGCGCTAGAATGTGTGGGTGATATTCGATATTCTTTTAAACACGAATAACGATATTTGAAGCTCGCGATATTAACATTAAATTCAAATTGGACATCCCGGCTTATGAGTTTTCTAATTGAACACCGAGATTACTAGCGTTACTGTACAATGTATCTTAATCAGTTACAGCATATGGATACCAAACATTAATTTCATATTATGTGATATATATATCTTTTTTTCAATCTGAAATAATGTGTACTATGAACAACGCTTAAAGACCATTGTTTTAACCCGTCTGCCCTACACAGCATACCTAATAAAGTAATAATTACATAGTATCGGTATCGGAATATCGGTGATATCGGCCTTTTTGTAGTATCGGCGTATCGGTATCGGCGTTTTTAGCTGGTATCGGATCGGTATCGGCGACAAAAGTGGTATCGGTACATCTCTAGTTCAGGTTATGCGACATCTTGGTGCGCATACTTCAGGAGCACCCAAATATCAATAAATTCCGAAAATTATTCCAATTGATACTATTTGAATTATTTACCCAAGAAATGACTATGCTAGATGTCAATTTGGTAAATGAGTAATTTGGTTCAATCATTAATAAAAAAGAAAGAAAAACCTTTATGCAAATATTCTCTTGGTGCCCAACTTGGATCTGATGAACCATAATTCGAATCATTATGATTGCTGTATTGGTTTGGTAAACCATCTGGTGGTGGTGGAGGCATCATCAGTGTATCATCTGGTGGAGGCAGTGGAATGCCAGGCACTTTAAAATTAATACCTTATAAGTACAGTTTTTCAACAAACAATGGCATTACAAATAATAGGAAATGCTATACGCAAAAAGTTATATATAACAAAAAGGTATATAAGACAAAATTACTTGTTAAAATTGTTATTATTCACAATCATGATAAAATCTTAAAGATTACTGTAATTTTTGTTATAAGTAAGCCTAATAGAAACTAGAAACTTGCTTATATATTGAGTAAGCTAAATGAATATATCATGAATATAACTGGGTGGGACATTACATATCCTGACATTAATTCCTGTCCAAATGCAAATTTAACCAGTACAATATATCACCGGTCATACAATATTAAATTGGCATTTAAGATAGGTGTTTCCTAACATATGCTATTCATGTAAGACTACTTGTCTAGAAATCTGTTAGAAAAAAAACTTTGAACAAAACATTATTTCACAAGTAATATTATGTAGTACAGAATTACCATGCATGTATTCTCTCCGGTGTAACCAGATGCTACTTTTCTCACAAGCTTCAAAATCTTGAGCTAGGTAATCCACTAACGTTAAGAACCAAACACTCACACAGAAATACTCAGATGTGATTGCAAATATTTGACATGACGGTAAAATTTAAAAATATAATTTCTTTTTAAGCACAAATACATACATGCGTGAATTGATAAACTTAAAATGATGCTGTACATACCATCATTTGGTGGAGGCAGATCAGATGTATCCGTGTCAAATGATGGAGGAGGTGGAGGGAGTGGAGGATCATAGACTAGATGTTGAACAAGTACAATGTGCAAGCATGCATCGAAAAATTTCACAATTCATGCAGATAAACTCTTAGCTAATTTGCAATGCAGTATTTATATATATTTATGTGTCAAGGCGTGTTCGGAAAATTTGCCACATAGGAAAAATAAAACTTGCATGGAAAAATCTCCGCAAGAGCATTTTGCTGTAAAACATGTATTTGTGATAGCATGAAAAATTGCCGTAAGAGCATTTTGCTGTAAAACAAGTAGGTAGCCTATTTGTGATAAAACAGTTAGGTTTATAGGGTTAGGATATGCTCTTAAAAAACGAATCTTTTTGAAATAAAAAGATACTTCAAAAACCTAACTATTTTTATCACAAATACCTGTTTTACAGCAAAATGCTCTTACCACGATTTTTCCTGTGTGCGAAATTTCCTGCGGCAGGATTCCCTACGGCGGAAATTTTCCGCGGCGAATTTTCCTAGAACAGTGTCATGGTAATGATAGGAAAACGTCACAAGTCTTCTGTTGTCTGATCAATTTTATGCCAAGCAGTAATTTTTACTAAAGCATGGTGAATTGTATAATTTTTTTTTTTATTTCCAACTCATTATTATTCGAAACACTTCTAGAAATGTCATTTGTTCTTAAAAATCAAGCATCTCTAGCAGATTATGATTGATTTACATCATTTGCAGACTACATTAATCGAAAAAGAAATTGAATGAACAGATGAATGTTTATTCAATATTCAGCTAAATTGAATAATTATACTACCAAAACAAATGGATTCAAGATACTAAACAAAAACTACACTATATGATTTATGAATATAATTGACAACATCAATAATAAAAAATGCCAAAATTGTCTGCCATCACACAGAACTCAATCTTAGGCATAAACTATATAGTAAATAATTTAAAATATAGATTTAAAATTGAGCAAGTCAGAGCTCTGAATCTTGAAACTACATTTCATTAAAAATGACAATACTTTTTACAACATGCTAACATCAATATATAACCATCAGAAATGGAAAAACATGCTAAAATAATAGGACTAGACATAATGACGTGGTCATACCATCTCGTAAATTTGTTACCAAGTTTACAAAGCTATGCAGAAAGCAAACTCTAGTGCTGTTACTTGACACACACACAAACGACATCAAATTTCTAGTGTTCAGAACATACAACAACAGTTAGGTGAGATTCAAACAAAAATTAAGACTGATTGCGAATAAAACTTACCAGCTGCAGAAGCATATCCCTCATTTGTGTTAGGCATTGTAGGAACCCTATTTTTGTATAAAAAATGAAACACAAACTCATTTTAGAATAGTTTGGCATAACAGTGATGAAAAATAGCATTTTCATAATGTGTCATAATGTGGCACTTTGTATGATTCACCTCTATCAGATTCCGCCCTCTGACGAATTTACTTTAAACCAGGGATGGCGAACCACTGACCCGCGGGGTCACGAAGTGACCCACCGCGTTTTATTCGTGACCCGCCAAGGCACGAATAAAATAAAATGCTGATATAACAGTGATAAAAATTGATCAAACCGGCCTTAAATTAATCTAACAATAACTGAACTATTATAATGTACCATCAGTTTGGTAGCCAGGGCTGCGATCGCTCATACTCAAATTGTTAATTTTCGGGCCGGTATGGTAATTTTCACAAACCCCATCATTTGGATGCCGTGTCTGCACTCTGCATCGCTGTGTAACGTTATTCAGCTATTGGCTCTGAGATCGTTTATGACATAACAATGCAATTGCTCTGTTTATTTCTCGCAACATCTTGTCTCTTTCGGAGGTCCATTTGCAGAATGTTTTAGGGGTTATACGAGAACCAGATGCTACTTTGCAGTTTATTAGTTTCTCGCCTACAATGCGGTTAAGAAAACAAAATCTTTCAGACTTGAAATAAAAACCTAGAAATCTGAAATAACAATGGGGCGGTACAAAATTCCCTAATGTGGTTGAAAGCTGATCAAAAAATATAACACTATCAATATGGAATTCCCTCCAAACCCTTTGGAACCGTAAAATAATTTGCCGCATCATCCTAAACGTTTTCGTTAACTCATATGCGTGTTTTCGTACTCTATTTCATAAAATCGAGAGCCATAAAAAGTCCCTGATGGAAGTGCTGCATAATAAAAACCCAAAACTACACCAAGAGAAGATAAGATTTGTTTCGAAAGTTTCCTATAGATATAAACATTGATTATATATCTGTGACCCACTCTATTATGTTCCGCGATAAAAATATATTTTTTTACCCATTCATTGAAAAAGGTTCGCCATCCCTGCTTTAAACAATATCCAGGCACCAATAGCATCTACTCTTAAACTTTCTTCTTCTAAGTCATAAATATAAACAAAACGCTCACCTCCCAACACTGGGTGTGCTGTATCCTGGCGACATTGGAGGTGGTGGTGGGGCCATCACTGGTGGAGGAGGTGGGGGTGGAGCCCCTTCCATTGGGGGTGGCGGTGGCATTGTGGGTGACATCACTGGTGGCGGTGGCATAACACCTAGACAGTTTGAATAGAAATGCAATATATAGATGACATAGTTGTTCAATTAAAATATTATTCTAAATGTATACCTTTCAATACGGAATACAGTCCTTGACAAGACAATGACATTCACCAATATTGTTATTTTCATTTTACATTACATTACTACATTAAGCAATGACAATTTATTATTATTAAATACTCAAGTATTTAAAGTTATAGTAATACAAACAGTAACACCCTTGCATTGTTTGTATTATCATGAAAATGAGTGTTAGTTCAGTCTTCAAGATTGATATGTTCTACACATGATAAGCAGGCTATTAAGTGAATACGAAATGATGCTAATAACTTTGTATACTTATTACAAGTGCTTGTTCATAATAGTGTAAAACAGGAAAACATATTTTCAATAGGATTTCTTGAGATTATGCAGAATGATAGATAAGTCTCATCTGAGTTACCATTCAGTACAGCGGGTATCACATATTCAAGTGCTTTATACAACTAACTAGCTTGTTGCATATTTGTTTCGTAGCCTACTTGATAGACTAGACAGGGAGATTTTCATGCCTGGTGCCGTATTGAACAATAGGTCAAAAATCAAAATATTATTCTATTGTGTAATCATCAGGAGCTATACGCTGAGCATTATTAGAAGCTGAGAAACACCAAGTGAGCATCATCAACAATAGGAAATTACCGGGTCAAGAAAGAGCTAACTTACCAGGCACACTAGGTGGTGCTGGAGGTCCTTGCACCGGTGGAGGGGCCATTGATACAGATTGGGAATTCTGTGAAGCAGCAGGGCCTATAAGTTTCACAATGCGTGTTAGATTGTGTTAGTAAGCTCGAAGCCATAAATATCATTGCACCAGTATTAAATAAATCACCCTGCCAAATTTCTATTTATCAAATATGAAATAATGGATCAATAACATGCATCAGCTAATGATTAGGATATGAATCAAATAAAACTTGAAAATGAATGATGAAAAATGATGCCTAACTTGCAAATCCATTTTCCATGCAAAACAAAGCGTAAGTAAAAATAAAACTAAATACAAATACCAGTAAATAGAACCTAATAAACAGATATAATTTCCCAAAATGGAATTTTTAGTAAGAATGTAGAATAAGAATGAAAAATAATGTAACGTAATAATAATGTAAGTTATGTAACGTAATAATGTAAGAATAAGAATGTAAAATAATATGATATACGAGGTGCGGCTAAAATGAAACGGGACTGACGTCACAGATTGCGCAACACGATTAACCATCGGTAATCAACACTTTTGCAGTGTTGCGTAATATGTGTTCTTTGTTTAACAGCTGTTTTGACACAATATCGCAATTATTTTTGCTTTTCAGGATCCATAAGTGAATGTGATGAATTTCTTGTTGAAAAAAAATGCTGTGCGAGGTCTGATTGAGTTTTTTGGCGATAGGGGGTTCAATTAAAGATTGACGACTGAGCAAAGAATTAACATTAAATTTTTTGTCAAACTTGGAAAAACGGCGACTGAGACTTTGCAGATGTTGCGTGATGTTTATGGAGATTCTTCCATGTCCAGAACAAGAGTTTTTGAATGGCACAAGCGATTTGTGGAAGGCAGGGAGGATGTGGAGGATGATCCGAGGTCAGGGAGGCCTTGCACTTCCACTACTGATACCAACATCGAAAAGGTTTGGCAGTTGGTTCGCAGTGACCGTCGCTTAACAATTCGCGTCATTGCCAACGAAATTGGGATGAACAAAGAAACGGTCCGCACCATTTTGGTTGACACTTTGGGAATGCGAAAGGTGTGTGCCAAAATGATGCCAAAGGCTCTTGAGTTGACTGAGGAGCAGAAAGCTCAACAATTGAATGCATGCCCAGTTGACATGCATTTTTCCAAGTTTGACACAAAATTTAATGTTAATTCTTTGCTCAATCGTCATTCTGCAATTGAACCCCCTATCGCCAAAAAACTCAATCAGACCTCGCACAGCATTTTTTTTTTCAACAAGAAATTTATCACATTCACTTATGGATCCTGAAAAGCAAAAATAATTGCGATATTGTGTCAAAACAGCTGTTAAACAAAGAACACATATTACGCCACACTGCAGAAGTGTTGATTACCGATGGTTAATCGTGTTGCGCAATCTGTGACGTCAGTCCCGTTTCATTTTAGCAGCACCTCGTATATCATATTATTTTACATTCTTCATACTATCAGTCGAACTCGTAGCATTTCTGTCTAATGAAGTTTATTCTGCAGGTTGATTATTTACAAAATAAATTAACCACAGAACTGATATTTTCTTTATTACAAATATCTATTTTTGATAATAATTTAACATGACAATCTCATGTATTAATAAATAGTTGAGACATCAAAATATTGAAAATTCTTTACCAAACACACAAAGATTTTTTTTAGTTATTAGTAGGAATGTAAGTCAAAGGAATGGTTTTAGGGAGTCAATTGAGGCCAATTACAAGCCAGATCTTAAAGATACTAGCAAAAAAAAAAATTTGAACAAATTTTGTCAAGTATTAGAGGTGCATTTTGTGTTTAACATCATTCAAAATCTGGGTATTTTGTGTAGGTTTTATAAAATCAGTTATTAAACTTTTGTATACTTTTTCTAAATTATTAATTTGTGTATTACATCCAGTTTTTAGGTTCTGTGAAAGAAATTTTGATTGCTTTTCAGAAGGGTGGAAATAATTTTTTCGAACCCCCGATTTGAATCTGATATCGATTTATTTTTGGCTGGTACGGCTACGGAGTTCATCTGATATATGAAAAGCATAAATAAATCCTGTGATGGGTGGGACTTGGTGAATTTTTTGTCCCATCCGACATGGAATTACATTAATTTTCCATACCAACATGCAACATCAAAATTCAGGAGGTGAGATACCATTTAGCATTCTACAAAACTGTGAGATAATAAGTGGGCTACTTGATGTAATTTTTCATTATTCACTACATTAAATGAATGCGGCTCTAATACACTTACCTGATCCAGGGTAATAACCACCACTGGAGCTCATACTTCCAGAACCTGAACTGCTGTTACTGTTTGTTCGATTTCGATACATGGTGGGAAGTCGTTTTGCTTTGTGAAAAAATTCGGTGTAAAATCAAAAAATAACAAAAAAAGGCAAAATTATATATATTGTTAAAATAATCGAAATATAAATAGAAACGTGCGAAACAATATAAATTAGGGATTGTTGAAACCGGAAGAAGATTTGTGAAAAGTACACATTTCAACAAAAGACATGCAATATATGGTAAATTTACCACTTATTTGCAAGTAGCATAATCAAAAAAATTTTCCAGAACAACAAATAGGTTTCAAATATCACAGAAGGCGCAATCATGTAATAATAAATTTCAATCATCCAAAGAAGGAAAATCATGAATAGGTCACCATATTATTGTCACCTGTTAAGCATTTAGGCATGCAAAATGAAAAAGTATTTATAGAGCATATAAAATGATGTTCTGTTGAAATAAATAAACTTACTACTTGCGGTGAAGTCAGTTGGTACAGTCGGTGTTCGCACAGCTCGTATTGTGCCATAACCAGTTGAACTGGTGACACTTTTCAAGCTGTCACGTTTCCTGGAAATGAACAAAACCAAAATTTAACTACCAGATAAAAGATGTGGTCTGGCGATTAATGGCATTAGACACATGCTTGGCGGCACGGCATGCCAAAATCTCTGTTTCAAATCCCATGCCAACCACCCCACGCAGGGTGTAATAAATTGGGTAATGTCAAACTGGTAATATCCGATCCTTCCAATATGAAGTAGATTCTCACATAACAGTAGTCTCTTGCGCAAAACCTTGTTCGGGGCAGAACACATGTAAATATTTTGTATAAAAAGGCATTCAAACACAGGCGAGTATATTATTCATGTTCTTATACTCAGCCATAACCTTGGATCTATCTAATCATAGTCAGTAATGAATTTGTTGAAGATAAATTTTCTATGAGTCAGTCATTTCCCTAACTTTACTCCTTACAAGCTTTGTATAGATACTGATTAGTCTATCTATATTTGTACAATTTCATTCGAAAAATATAATCAAAATGTTGAAACTTCATTATCTTGAGATATGGCCAATTGCTAACAAATACAATCTAATTCTCAGAACCATTCCATTTAAATATAGAGACATTCAGAGCTTAAGAACTTTAATCCAGCAATGTGATGGAAGAATTAATGCCCACAGATTACTAGATTACTTGAAATGAAAATAGAATAAGATTCGGTATTTTGGAATCATTCAAATATTCTAAAATAGTTAATGATTCTGAATTCTTGATCAACCCAATAAAAAAAACATGCATATGTAAAAATGCAAATATGAGACACTGTTACAATTATCATAAGCATCTGCAAACATAAGAATACAGATTTTACACTGTCTTTGCTATTGCCATAACATAATTATTAACACATAACACAACTAAATTTCCTGAGCTGCTGAAATATCATGTATACATTTTTTTCATTTTAAAATATATGATTGTGCTCGCGATACAACATTGCAACGTCCAACACCAAAATAGGAATGTCATAATTGAGCCTGATAATAACATAACTGGCCCCAAACAATCTCAAAATACTCAGAATGCTAGGTATCAAAGATCCCTCTCTGGTTTTAACTCCAGTGAAGTCATTGTTCATCAGTTTGTCAAATGTCAATTCAGTTTGTCAAATGTTTGGTTTGTCAAATGAGCAAATTACAACGAATTGCTTTAATAGAGATTTCGTCATGAGCAAAGCCATGAAAAATCATAAATGACTTGAAACAAGCATTAGCACAATAGCTCATCAAATCCTGAACTATTCAATTATATTAGCATTTTACTACCGTAATAACCTATAACATTTTGGTAAACATTTTCCAGAGGATACATTAATAGGATATAAATTTACCTTCCATCTACACTTGGACTTGGAGTTTTTGAGACTCTCCTCACATTCAGATTTCCGCTCTGAGATCCTTGGTTTGCAAGTTTCACACCATGTCCTACATCATCTAATTCAGCATAATCAATTGGTTTTCGTACATACTTGACAGTTCTGTCAATTGAATAAAATATAGCACCAATAAAAAGACATCATATTGCAATGTATGGGTGTTTGAGCATTTCTGGTCTGTTTTTAAAAAAACTAGATTCAGTATATTTTAGTGTGTTAGAAAACTTGTGTGATAAAAATAATTGTTTCAAATTTCATTGAACAGTTGTCTATTGGCTTATTTTAGAGCTCTCATTAATATTTGAACAGATTACCACATTTAATGGATAATAACAACACTAGAATCTTCTACCACTAGGTTCAATTTTATGAAGGCCATGGCCCTTTTTCAACTGTAGAAAATTTTTAAAAGCTTTAAATTTACAGAAATTTTGACTTGAAATGTTGTTCAATTAAATTGATGGCAATTCAGCTACAAAATGATATTAAATAACCAATACTATAAAAATAACAGATACTATTAATAATTCCTATATTAGAATACACGTTTTGTCCATAAATACAACATTATAAATTGAAAATTTTCTGTTGAAAGTAAAATATTCTAATCATAATAAACTGTGCACCTGTCTGGATTAGATGGTGCAACAATCTGATGATTTCTTGTGATGACTTTGTTTGTTGTGAGAAGACCAATTTCTCTCCTTGCCACCTTCTCTTTATGAATATCAACAGTCTAAAATGAGAGCAATTGAGTTGTAGTGATAGTTTGTATATAAAACAGAGCGGCCCAAAAAGAAGACACAACAAACTGCTTAGTAATTATTTCCACGACAATGAAGAAAATTTATTTCACACTTGAACTTATGTTTGTGCATGATTGTACCCAAAAGTTGCAGTAATCTTGGACACTTTGCACAATCGTTATGCTCTCATTAGAATATGTTTTAAATACGCTGGGTTGTGTTATTTGGATCGCTCTGTGTACTAACTTTAATTAAATTTAAATATTCTTCCTATTATAACTTCCTTTACACATATTTCGGTATAAGTACAAATGAGTTTCGGAAAGTAAATTTACTGGCTGAATTCATTGCAAAATATTGGCTAAAATCAAAAATCAATAAATAGAGAATCAAATTAATCGAATAAATTCTGCAGCAAGAATAAGAAACATGTTATACTACCATTGAAATATTATTTATTGACGACTCCATGTTTGCAAGTTCAGCAGCCTGTATATCAAGCATATGAAGCATGTTGCTTGCTAATGTATTAATCTGGTATGCAACAGATGCAAGAGACTGAGTTGTGAAGTTCTTTGTTTCATCAAGTGCAGTCTTTTTGTTGTCAGCCTAAAAAATAGTACATGGTAATTTAATTAATCTAGTTTTTTAGCAAAAAATTAAGTACTAAAATTTAGGCATATGGAAGAGTTCATTTTCAAAATCAACCAACAAACATAGAAAAAGGAGATGTTGGCATTTCAGAAACAAACATTATCAGGTAAACATTTCCTTTCAAACGTTTATCTATTGTAATCAAATAAAATAAAAATATAGTGGACCTAATTATCCAGACTCAACGAAAGTCAAGTGCTATTAATACCAAAACATGAGTGCACATTATGATCTTCACTTACATCGACATACATCTGCTGACAATAATTTGCGACATTTTCTAAATTGGCTTTGCTATCCAAAAGAGCTTTTCTTCCACTTGGGATTTCTTCATGAAGTAAACTATCAAGCTCTGCCATATTGGACTATCAAATTATTCGTTGAATTATCAGACAATCAATATCACTGCATTATTATTAAACCTATAGATATACCGATAATACTGCGATGAACCTATAATAAATAAAGCACAGATGCTATTAAGCAAGCAGTACAAGGTAATTCAGAAGACAGAATTGAAACGAAACCTGATGTGTTAAACTGATAATATATCTGAAATGTTTTCCATCATATCACTTGCTAGGGTAGATCAAGACAAGCAAGCCCAAAATACTTATATAGGTAAAAAAAAGTAATTGCAACAACAAGTATGTGGCGGCATCAAAACAGTAAACTAGTCATTGAACCATAAAAAATATGCTGTCATAATTGATAGACAACTTGAAAAAAAATCTTGACTTGTAATATGCATGTGTGATGGTGATTTTAAATAACAAACTACTATCTGGTAGAAAGCATAGATTTAGCCCAATCACAATACAAAAAGCAGGAATGTAAAGCAATTCAACTCGTGTTAAATTTTATTTTGGAACTTCAACAACAATTTATTTTCACTTTGACTACAATATGATGAAGATATAGTATGGTTCACTTCAATACTATTGGTAATACTATCGATGTAGAAGTAACCATAAGCTATGACACCAGCAATACTGGTACATTTGGTGTTAAAAATAATGGAAAAAAGTGGTCTCTTCCCTGATTAGGTCTTTATCTTTAGTGTATGATGACAAACATATCATTCATTTTTTTCATAAATATAATTTTCTCGATTAGCTTGAACTGGTTGTAAAATGTGCGACCTTGCTTTGAGTATACTGTAAAACAGACTTTTCAAGGCGCCTGAAAATATTCATACTCTGTATGTAATACTTTACAAAAAAGTAAATAACATTGAAACTATTATGCCTAAAACTACACCAGCACCAACCTTTAATATAGAATAATGCTTCACAAATGCTCATTTAGTACAGAGAAGAAAAAATAGGAAGTTCCTTACGTTTTAAGACATATATGAGAATTGAAACCAGATACTGATCTGCGCTCTGAAGACCCGAGTCGAGTGTGTTTTATTATAATATATTATTTTATTTGGCAAAGAATCGTAAAATACCTTTCTTCAGATGTGATTGGAATATAAAATTCAGAATATACAAACCTATCTCTATCAACATAGCTTCTCAAATTTAATGACAAAAATATTTATGTACCAAATACTTCTTCTGTTCATACATGATATCTATGGTTGGTTGTAATCCATAAAAAATGATATTTTGAAACTTCAAAAAATAATAATAGCAATCAAGTATCATATTGCACAAAGAAAACTAAGGCACAAAAATATCAATTTTGCAATACAAACTGTACTAAGGCAAATCCTCAGCATCAAATGTTATTTCACATGGGTTGCTCTTCAATTCATGTCAGTCATTTAAGTGTACTTTGCTGAGATCCTTTCAACAGTGAAAAATTGTTCGTCAATGTGTGGAATTGTGTTTTGGTAATGCACTTTCAGTTCTGCCATCGCTTGATCTTCCAGCTGAATATCATGCAATGGTTTATTCATTCTTTTTAAACTCTCCTCAGCCTGATTCATGGTGCTTTGCATTATGTCTCTAAACGAAGAATTTGGTCGGATTGCAGAGTCTTTTGATGTATCCTTTTGTAAAGTTTTAGGCGCCATTTGCCATGGACTATCTATTTCTGATTTTGTCATTTTATCTGGTGATACAACTCTTGGACGTTGCACAATAAGGCTGGGTGAAGTTGATTGTTCTTTCATGACATCCCAGAAAGACCTGGAGTCTGTTCTAGGTGGACTAGCTACTGTACCCCAAGCATTAATAGGAGGCGAGGTAGCAGCAGGGATAGTAACACGCTCCACTTCTAATTTAGCAGTTTCTTTTTCTAACTTTTTCCTTTGTTTTTGAGACAACTTTTTTGGTTTCATTGTAATAGCAGCACCAGATCCGCCATGGTTTACACTACTACTATTTTTAATAGGAATAGCAACAGGATAAGTTTTGGTTTCTGCAGCAATACCAGCCATAGAGCCCCATGGGTTATTTTGAGTTATATGTGATGATGGAGCAGGATGATTTGGTTGTGATAAATTCGAAGATAGACTGGGAAATTGAGATTTCTGAGTATCCATGTCTTGAAAATTAGATTTGTTTATATTTTGTGGACTTGAGACTGGCACAAAACCTTTTTGTATCGGTTTGATCTTGACAGCAGCTAATTTTTTATCAATATTATCGTTGAAATCAATATGAGTTGAAGCATTATTATTGGGTGGAGACACAGACGTATGAGAATCCAGTTGTGTGTTTTCATTAAGTGAAGCTTTATTCTTTGAAGATGCAATTCTGTCAACGAAACTGTCAATATCTTTATCATTCCTAGACAAAAGATCAGACAGAACAATGCCCCCAGTTGAAGATTTTGAGAATGATTTTTTCCTGCTTTTACTACTTCGTCTTTGCCCAAATGACTTTTTCTTTTGGGGTGAAGGCGGCCCTTCACTAGGCCAGACTGAAGATTTATCAGTTGGAGATAAAGGCTCAAAAATTGGAAAGAGAGAGCTGGATTCCAAATTCTCTGGTACATCGGGAAGTGGTGGACCCTCAGTACTAGGTGGCATACCTCGTAAATATACAGCACTGATAGCTGATCTGTATGAATCTTCCATCTCTTCCAACGTCGAATATTCTATTGAATAAAAATTCGGTGTATGCATGAGTGCTGGTAGATGATGGATTATAAATTGTCTACATGTTTTTATTAGCTGTGGACAGTGGAACGCAGACGCAAATTCTATTATCGAAGATACATTCTTCAAAGTTAATAGTGAAGCAACCTGAACTTCTGCTATGTCCTTCAACCTATTCATCAGTAGTTGATCAGCCGCCATTACTTCACACAGTGTTTCTGGTGACAGAAAGTGGTTCAATACAAAAGTGGAATCAGTGTAGGAGAACTCCAGCACATATTTGAAAATATCTGACGGAATCGGCACCTTTGTGATCACACCTTTACTTTCCGCCCATTGTGATAATAGCATGCTTCTAAAAAACTCTATTCTAGCTACCAAAATACATTTGTGGGCCTTTAAAATAACTCCATCAGAACATTCTAATTCAATATCACAAAGACTGTGAAGTTTGTGGCAGTCGAATGAAGGGAAGTTAGCTTTAAAGCTACTCGTGCCCTTCTTCATTGAATTACGCCATCGTGAAGAGTTATAGAATCGAAGAAAGATCTATTTATACCAAGTTTCTTTGCCAGAGTTTTAAACTGTGAAAGAAGATTGGATGTTGAATTGTGCTTGGAAGATTTTTCTGATTTTGATTTTTTTGTATGTTTATCCGATTCTTGATAGACTGCAAAAGCAGAAATACTACCATTTGTAACTTGAATTTTCTGACAAATCAATTCCATTTCTTGCCGAAGAGAAGTTTGTGATTTTGTCACTTTCCCAATAAATTCTGGTTTCTGTTGAATTAATATTTTTAGCAGCAGCTGGAACAGTATTTTTTGGGCGTAACAATTCGCAAGACTCACAATATATGAACTCAATAGATTTCTTAACACATAAGGATCACAATTTTCAAAAAGAAGATGATCAATGTTAACTGTGTAATTTTCATTCATAAAGACACCATTCTGTTCTACATCCTCCGATGTGATTTCATCCTCATTTTCGCTGGTACTTTTTCGCGTCTGGTGTGTGATAATTTTTCTCAGAAACTGAGAACGCGAGGCAAGAATGAATTTGTGGCAAGGTATTGATAATAGTCTATTCCCTTTGCTATCAACAGCGGCTACAACCATGTCATGGACATTATCATTTTCAGTGACATCTTCCCATAATTTCTGAATATTTTCTTGCAGTTCACTATCGCCAACCGTAGGAACATCAGTGGAAAAGATACGTGGTTCACTTTGCAATATGGCTCCTGCTTTTGCTTTGGGTCCGATGTAACCAGAATGTGCACGAAAAACACAACATACCTGATCTAACGAAAATTCTTGTACAGAATCAGCATCCAACATATCCAAGCAGCTATCATATGCCTTTGTATTTACCGCTGATTGTAATTTTTTCTTGGAGGTTTGGGAGCTTTCCAGTTTCCATACTTTGCAACAAAAGCTTGTCCTGTATTTGTGACTAACAAGGCAGTATGTCCATGATTGCAAATGGCTATGTCTTTGAAAAGAAATGATTGCGGCAGGTTGAATTTACATCTGTCGAGTGTTCCATGAGCCTTACTCCATGACAATATATCACCAGATTTTTTGCTCATTATGACATGTAAACTGTCATCTTTCAACAAATTGTGAACAGAGTGAAGTCGTTGATCAATTTGAGAAAGAGCCGAAACATCCAATCTTCCTCCACCTATTTGAACTTTTACAATATCCAATTGTTTCGATACTATTTTCCGACAAACGTAATTTTGTAACAAGTACACAGTGCCTTGTCGTGTAGAAACTATAGTAGCAGAATCACATGCATGAACACAAATAATACCATCCCCTTCTTTATAAACTCCTGATACTTGCCGAGGTTGTTTTACGTAAAGGTCGTTTTTAGCATGACCTAACTGACCAGCATTCGCACCAAAAGTGTATAAGCGACCCTTGTCAGTCCAAACAACAGTATGCAATACACCTGCAGCACATCCAATTACACGTAGAGTTTTCAAAGCTCCGTGAACTCTAACAGGAACTAACTCACGATCTGATGATGAAGACACACCAAGAATGTGATGCTTATTCAAGCCACAAACTAATAGATGACCAGAATCTGTAGTGAGTACAGTGTGATTCAAACCAACTGCTGCTGATAATACACACACACCTATGCTAAGAGAAACTTGTGCTGGTTCAAGACAAGCCTCCTGATTACCATTTCCTAGCCTTCCACCTTCCCCATGTCCACACGAGTAAACAGACCCAGATGTGGTAACGAAAATAGTATGGAATTTAGCCGTAGCAACTTCTTAATATTGATATGCCTTTTGACAAAGAAATCCACAGGTTCTGGTAACTTGCACTCCTTTAGATTTCTTTGCCCTAGAACAAAATTGTCATTTATACCCCATGTATAGACTTCAGATGTATCTGAGTTATTAAGAACACAGGCATCTTATATGTTTGCCTTGAAAATCTAAGATACCTTACCCAAGGTGAACAATCGAGCATGGCAATGTCCATAGGTGTCATTCCTTCCTTGTCCCTTACCCACATATTTGCACCATGTTCAATGAGCAAAATTACACAACCAAGTCTCCCGTAATACACAGCTCTATGTAGTGGTGTCCATCCACTTTCTCTGTCCTGGACATTTAAGTTACAATTAAAAGTTGCAATGAGCCAATCCAATACTTCTATTTTGCCACATGATGCAGCTAAGTGGATAGCACTTCGTCCCAAAGTATCACAACGTATGGTAGCTGTCGGACAAGAAGTTCGAATATATTCTTTAATTTGCAATGCATTTCCTTTAGTAATAATGCAGTTGAGATCTGCAACACATTCTGGACTGCGGCATTTTTGGCCGCATTCAGAGTTTTCATACCATTCTTGTGGAACAGACATACTATTTCCAAGCTCACCCCTTCAAACGCCCACCTTCAACCTCAGAATAACTAGATTCATGTAAAGGTTATGCCATATTACAGTATTACATCTAATTTAAATATATATCAAACAATATTTATCACAGTATGTAACTTACACACTTTTTTTTTTTGATTGGCTTACCGAATAGTGATTTTAATAAATATGCAAAGAATGAATAAATGTACAAATTAAAATAAGTCCATATTCCATGAATTCATAATCCATTTGTTGAAATTGATTTTCATAGTTTTTTCATCAGTGATTATTAGTCATAATGATAAAGTTATCTTAATAATTGTAATGATATAATACAATAAAAAAGAAAAAAAAACAAAATTAGCAAATGTATAATAAAACTTATCATACAGTCATAAACCTACGTAATTGCTTCACATAAATTCTGTAATTGCTTTTCAAAGGGGGTGTTTACTCTGGAACTTTCTATACCTTTTTTTTGGCATTAGGGCCATTTTTATCTGCTTGTTAAGAAGTGTTATATCGGTTGTTTTATTTTCAAATATGATAGAATTTCTCATAATCCAAATTTTATATCGAACTATTGATATTAAAAGAATAATTGCATTTAAATCTACACTACTTATATGACTAAATGAAGGATCATTAAAATTTAATAATATACAAGAATCATAATTTGTAACAAAATGTGTTCTAATCAACTTTAATATAATTAAGAAAACAAAATCATCATAATTTTCTTGGTAAACTCACAAGACATAAAAATATATACACTTTTTTAAATGGTATTTCTTTCATTGGAGTATGCGCAGCAGAAAAAATGCTCAGGAATCATTAATGAATTCTACTAACTAAGCGGGCTACTTACAGATAGCCTGCCGGTAATAGAATTGGTTACTGGACAGAGTTATCAAATCGCGCCTCACAAATTAGGGGTTTGCACTCACTGTTATAATTGATATCTTTCAATGTGGGGGCTGATATTGAAATCGAATCTAGAGTACCGGTACCGTACCGGTACTGAATCTAGGATTAGCTCATCAGTATCACAATGTCAGAAATCGGCTTACCTGTCTGCCTGTGTACATGCAATACCATTGCGTAACGTAACTAATCAAATATCCGACATGGACTAGTAACCAGACGAGAGGGCCCTGGTTAGCTATATTATCTTCTTTTCTTTCCCCCGGAATACCGTAAATATAAAATTCAAAGCAAATCACAAACTGCCTAGCAAACAACTCAGCTACGGGCACTGTGCCGCAAAGGCGCAGTTCTAACTTTCGCAGAGAAAGATCTCTGTCTCCCTCAAATGGTGAAATGACGAGCTGGGCGTTTGCGAAATCATCTGAACCACGAATCTTTTTTACTAAACTATCGGTCTCGCGTCAGGCTACCGATCCAGTCGGGGAATTTCTAACCATTTCATTGAACCAGATGTATAGGCTTTTGCGGAGAATGAGGCAATAACCACCAGTGATTGCGCTAACCGGTTCGATCCGACGTCCTAAATAAAATCATGCGCCAACCACAGAACCAGAAACGCGTCATGCCCAGAAACTCTGTAGCAAATAATAGTCTCCAAAGGAGATCATATTCTGCAAGACAATGTCAATTATACGTCGAACTCACGTTACAAACAAAGTACCTGATGAGATCTAGCATCTCTAGTTATAAAACTGTCTGAATCGAGTAGCACGGAATCACAAATTCCAATTCAACTAACTTCCCTTTGACTTAAAAAATCTGACAAATTCCAATAAAACTATTTTGGCCAGAATTTTATTTCTTGGGGTATAGCACATCTCCTAAACACCCAACAACATACTATTTCAAACACTTGTACATGAAAAATGGGACAAAATTACAAAAGGAGAAACGACAAATCATTTCGCAATACATGCACAACAGCATTCGCGTCAAAAATCCAAAACAATAGAACTGCATCATGATGATTGACAAGCTACACCACAGTATTTGTCATAGTGACGCATGGTTGAGACCAGCCGATGAGCATGTGCGAAATTTGCCTTCGCTACATAGTTAATTCCTGCAAAAAATAATGCATACATTAACAAAAAGTAATCTGAATACATTCATGGCATAAATGCCGAATAACAATTTCAAACTCATTACAGAGAGATTAATCCCCCGTCCACTGAGAACAATTAACTGGTAAGACACGAGCCCTGCACAGGTTACAGGAAAGCGAGTCGTATTATTAGATTTCTTATACCAAGGATCCTGAACTGGTAAAAAAATAGCCAACTTTGATTTACCCAGAATGAAAGAAGCAAAATAATCTGATGTTACCATATTACCACAGAACTTAAAATCGAAACCATTTTTCATAACTCACCATGATTGCATTGACAATATCATTATTATTCTTTTTGAGAGATTTAATGGCTTTGTTACGGGTCACGGTCGCCTGCTGCATAACAAGTTCAATGTCTTTACTTTCGACACCAGAGTCATCAACCTCCTGATAATATAAAACGTGAAATACATAACATGGAAAATTGAAAATAAAACTTTCAGTCTCAAAACTGTCATGGCCCAAAAGTGGGAAATTTTGCAAAATTTCATCAAAAAATTTGGGAATGAGAAGGTCGCGATGATTGGATGATAGAGATTTATGTTAATCTATCATAGAAATTTTATCCATTTCCCTACATTTTGAAGCCATATTACTATCTAACAAGAAGAAAGCAATAAACACAAACCTCATCATTATCACTGTCATCTTGAACGCTTGCAGCAGTAGTTGCATTTTCTGCGGCAGATGGAATTGTGTTTTTGAACTTTTCAGCTGCGGCATGTTGAGCTTGTTGGGACAGATCTTCAATCTTGAAAAAAAAATTTTTTTTTGATTCATTATAAAAAATACACCTTCGATATATGCACTAGTTGTCACAACATTCGGAAAAATATTTTTAAGTTTCTATATTCTGCGGATAAAACTTGAATGCTCAAAAACTCAATCCCATGATATTTGTTGTGACAGAGCAATTGATGTAAAATTGCATTAGAAGAAGTAGTCTGCAGTCAGTCATATTAGTTTCACATCTAGTTCTCTGAAGACTATGTTGTAAATGAAGTCGGAACAAAGAGTAACTAAATAAATGGTTATTCCTGGGTGGGTTATATAAAAACAGAAAACAAAACAATAGGAAACAAAAATTTACCTTTGCTTCACCAAATACGATATACGTATCTGAAGCTGGACTTTTTAAAACATCAGGATTGTTGATAACGAAAAGAATATTCTTCGATTTCCTTATTGTTACGCGTGTAATACCAGTGATGTTCTTCATACAATTCAGCTTTGCAATCGCCTAGATATAAAGTTGGTAATCATCAAATTTATTATCATTTTATGTAAAAGTACCAATGTCATCTAATCAAATTATGAATATAGAAATAACAAAATAAAATATATACAAGTGACATTGTTAAACATGTCAAAAAACAAGATAATCCAACTTTTGAAAAAGTTTCAAAAATTTAGCTTATAATATGAAAAAAAAAGTACGACATGTGGCTTTGTATTACCGATTCTGCTTGACACAGTTCCAATTTTTACATTGCGAATTGTAAAATTCAATATCATGCCAACAAACCTTTCTAGCTTTCTTTTCATTTCTTGATTGTTTTGCCTTTACTTGCTCCTGCTCTTCAGCATCTCCTCCAGCACTTGCTTGGTTGAGTAAGTTCATCACCTTAAAAATAAAAAGTTGATTATCACTCACTCACCAAAGAACTCAGTTACCTATTAAACAGGTACTTACCTACTGAAAATTATTTAAAGTAACAGTGTAGTGATATTGTAATGTAACAATTGACTTACGCTAAACGATTTAAATTCTAAACATAGCGTAGTTCCCTATTGTTTCAATAAATTCCAGTAATTTTGTTACAGAAAAGTGTGATAATTTTCATACTGGGTAGCATGACCAATAGAAAGTGGAAAGAGACATTGTGGCACAGTTGAAAATATATAGGTGGAACATCAGTGATTAGTATATTGGAGTTAAAAGAAAATCATATTGAGCCCCATATATTAAACTCAAGCATGAGAGTCTCGGTCGAGTATGGTAAATTTCATAAAACATTGAGAATGCACGAGTACAAAGAAAAATATTTATTTTTTCGACTTTGGTAGTTTGGTACTAGTTTTGCCAAGGATATATCTTTTGTTGTCATTAACAACATATATAATAATGCATGAGCTCAAGCCAGTACCGGACTACTTTTAAAAGTATTTAACAATGACTAGAAAACAATACAAATTTTACATCAGCTGACAGAGAAGCCTTCGTTGCAGTCGCTGATGTTGTCTTGGGATCAACATGAGCAGATGCCGTTGATGTTGTTATATTGTCGACTAAATCTGGCATGGAGTCATCATCACTGTCACCATCTGTACCTGAACCTAAAAATAGGGAAATTTTGATTATTATATCATCAGAAGACTTGAAGTGTACTTGATCAAAAAGTCAATAGTCAATAAACAATTACAATGCTATGGACTGTTAATAACAACTTGAAAAATATTCAGAAATATAACAACGATTTCATAAATATATGAACTCATCACACTGTTATATTAATTAACGCTGACATTTGGCATCAATTTTTTTCAAGGGTGGTCAAAATCCTGTCCTGCTATTTGACATATTACAGTTGTAAGTATAGAACCAAACCTAATATTTCAACAAGTGTGAAGTGTTATCTCCTAGATAGCCCTAGATATAAAACTATTATTTATATAGCATTACCAGATCACAAAAATTTCAGACTAGTTAATTTAAATCCTAATGTCAACATACCGTCTCCATTCACATCCTTCACATCACATCCTGCAAAAAATAAAAGAAATCATTACATAGAGTACAATACACGATTAGATTCAACTTTTTCTGATATAACTTAGATGCAATGATAATGTAAAAGGGCATTACACGTGTAAATATAAAAAAGGGGAACGATCAGAAAGAACGATTATTAATGATAATTCGACTGAAAAAGGGCCTTCCGGAAGGCCCTATTTTAGGTCATTTTTACAATAAATTTTCACAGTACTATATAGCAGAAAAACTTCTTAGTTTTTCAGCTTTGAATAGTTCATTAAAGGTTATTTACAGGCACTTAACAGCTACTGCACATATATAGTTTTTATTAGTCTGCTCAACTATTGAAAATAAGAACTTTTTGTCACCTATGAAAATTTTTATATTTTTTTCAAAAATCGCAATTATGGGCAACCCAGGTATTAATCGAGGCACTTTTTTTTACTGTTTTGCAAGTTTCTATAGATTTACAGCAATTGCAATGTGATTGGAATGAACTGCTACCACTCGATAATGTTGTAAATTTTGTATAAACATGTAGACAAAAGGGCCTTCCGGAAGGCCCTATGTTTTTTTTCCACCATTCAACTATTTTGACCAAATTGAAGACTACAGGGCTTTAAAAGAAAACAATAAAAGTTGTAGTTGCAAGCCTGGCGATTACCAGATGACATAGTCATTATTTTGTCTTCATATCTCCAACTATAAGCAAGTTACCTAGTTTATTGATCAGAATATTAGATTAATTTTTGTTGTTCCGGTGTCAAAAAATATTTTCTTCGTAATTGCAGGTACTTTTTTTTGCACGAGGCATGATTTCATGTTGGTTACTTGATTTATTGAGAAACAAAATGCAATACAGAATGTTTAATGAGATATAAAAGTTGGACATTACTATAGAAAATGTTAGGGCCTTCCGGAAGGCCCTACAAAAATAATCAGTTATATGTGTCGATGTGGACCCTTAATATTGAGAGGAAAGCCTGTTTTTTCGAAGGGAAGCTAAACACAAATTATCATTTTATGTTATTGATTAACATAATAAATATATTTAGATTAAGTTTAAGCTATACAGAAGAATATTTCGAATTTAAAAATTGATTGCTACCATATACAGTATCATTATAATTTGTGGTTGGATGTGGTTTCTGGATTGATACTTTTCAAGTTTTTAGAGAAAGCTAGAGTGAAATTTTATGATATTACATTGTGAATTGTGATATAATATTACAGTGTGTGAAATAGACTATAAAGATTTAAGACCTGGAGTTTCAGATGAAGAGAACATAGAAAGAACTTAAGAAAGATTCGAGTTAGGAAATTACTTTGAGCGCAATGCAGAGAGTAGCTTTGGTTTGAATGAATGAAGAACAACCAAACAGCAGTTTAGGAAGAAACCAAAAAAGACTGAGAGTTAGGATTCTGAAGTTGAGAAAGAAAAGGAAGTTAGTGAATGTGCTGAGTGCTTTCTTAGCATGCAGCACAGACAGTGACAGTGAACTAACAGAGATGAATGTATTTTCATTCTTAGACGAGGAAAGTGATAGAGTCTGATTAATAAGACATAGAGTCTGATTAAGACATGGATACAATCCCCTTACAGCAGAGAATGATAGGCAAAGTGGAGACAGAGCCTTAGGATGAATTATTGATGGAGTAGTGAGTTAGTTGCCCATCCAAACTTCCAAATTTTTTTGAAGATAGATTTGATAAAAGGATAACTTTAACTAGCTAGAAACAAAATGAGAATGGCACTCTGGAAATATCCCTAGACTGCAAGTAGCAGAAACTTATTTGAAATTTGTCACTGTCATCATTATAATGTGGGTACTGGATCCTTTGGTTTCTAAGATGCGTAACTAATGCGCTCTTGTGACCACTGTCAATTTAGAGCAACATGGGTTTTCTACTAATAAATGCTCATCTTTGGATGTTATATTTCATTAATAAAGACAACATATCAACCAAATCTTGCATGATATTCTTTACATGACAAGCAAACATTTCAAATTCAAAAGTTTTATTGTCCAAGTAGGCGCTGACTTTCAATGAGTGATCGTCTTTCATTTACTGAAAATTAATGCCCAGCTGTCATTTGGGGAACACCTTCCCTCCCATCAAAAACGAAAAATGTAACTTTCTTTTCAGATAACATGGCTTAAAATAATATTTCCCTTTTTATTTGATAGTGGTACATGCTCTAATTACTGAAAATAGAAGTTTTTTAGGTTTCCAGATACCGGGTCTTAGGGCCTTCCGGAAGGCCCTTTTCAAGAAAATTTTTGAAAGGGTCTCCCATCCATCATGTTGTTTGTGTTAGTATTAATTTTCGAAGTTTTTTTTGGTATTAGGTATTTGTGTTCTGGGTTTTTAGAGAAAAAAATGTACCTAACTGAATATAGTTAAACAATAATCCCTCTTATAAAACTGATCGTTTAAAATTATTGATGAAAAATTTATAATTTACAAAAAAAATTGTATTTGCGCTTTTTTCTGTTAGCAAATTTAATTTTTCAGTGCAACAACATGATACAAGAAATTCATAAACATGAAAAAATTAGATCACAAAGGTTTTTTTATCTGAGAAATGAGGATTTTAAAAAAATGATTTTTTTCAAATTTTTCAAAAAATTGAAATTTTTATTAAAAGTAAATAGGTCAGTGATAAAAAACTAAAATGTTTTATAGAAATTGTAACCCATGATTGTATTCATGAGTAACTGGCAATCAATTAATATCATAAGCTAAAGAAAATTCAAAATCAAACTACACAAAATCAGGTTTCAAAACTATTTGATTAAAAGGGCCTTCCGGAAGGCCAAAAGACCTTCCGGAAGGCCTTTTGTCGAATTATCATTAATAAGATAATAAGATGAGGATATCAGAATCTATCATCGAAATAGGTATGTCCATAGATGAGCAAAAAGTCCATATTACAAGATCCGTGTGCTTTATATAGAATACAATTTCTATGCGAGTTAAAGTTGGTTGCGAATAAAACTGAGAAACATAATATATTCTAATAAGGCAACAGTTGAAATTCATGATGATGAACATAAAATCAAGCTAACCAACCACACAACACAACCTTCTTGGCGTAAGTGGTTTGTGTGTAAAGCTTTATTTACATGATTATGCTGCCGAAGTGACAAGAAAAACACAATACAATAAATGAAGATAGATATTTTAAGCCTTGATGTACACTCAAGTTTTTAAATTGGTAGGAAGAATTAAACAATGAAACGATGAATTAAGTGAAGAAAAAGTATAAGCTTAAAGATGATAGATGAAGGACACGCATGATCGCTCACCCTTAGTGAACAACTGTGTCTCGACAACAGGTGTGTCGTCATCATCAGAAATTTTCTTTATAGCTCCCGACGAATTCGCCACGTCACTATCAGAAGTTGAACAAACAGAAGACACAAGAGAAGGCATTATACTAGTAGAAACAGACACTGCCTCTGTCATATTGTCAGCTGTTGACTGTATAGGTTTTGACACTTGAGTAGATTGTATGGAATTCTCAAGGGAAGCTGCCTCAGACAAGATTACATCATCGCTAAACAATTTAAAGTTACTTTCTTCTGACATTCTCGGTTCTATTATTTCATAATTCTCAGTCTTCATTGAAAGTCCGCCATTACTTTTGTATGTGGTACTAAGCAATTCTCCACAATTCAGCAACTCGTCATCGATGTATGAATTCATTTCATCTAGCTCAAGTTGTTGCCCTGTGTTATGACCGAAATAATCATGTGAATATTCCATCTCACTCATTCGTAATTCGTCCTCATCATTCATTTCACAACTTGCATCTTCATTTCTAAATTCTACTTCTTTATCGTCATCGTAACAATTTTTATCATCCAATCTGACTGTTGATGCATCTTCATTTGGATTCAGTGACTTTTCTAATATATCATTTGGGCTTGAATCTGCACGGTTATTTGATTTTAGTGAATTTGATAAACTATTATTGCCCTCCATTGATGTAGGTTCCTCCACTGAAGAAGCGGGCTTTGACAATTTCAAATCTCTATCTTGTGATTCATTACTGGGATCTTCATTGAAATACAATGTTTCGCTTCTTTCAACAGATTTTTGCTCAGAATGAGACAATGTAGTAGATTCAACATCAATTAAAGATGTCTGCATTTGGCAATCTTGCGGGGTTAGAAAACTAGTGGAAACAACAGTTTCCAATTCTGTTGAATTGGAAATAGATTCTGAACCTACTGGTTGTACATTATCCTTCTTGCCTTCAATACTAGGAAAGGTGACACTTTCAACATTCTTCTCTTCTACATTGTGGGTTGTGTCATTCTCATCATTTTGGACACTACTTTTTAACTTTTCCACTACCCCAGCTTCAACATTTGCACTTTGTTCATTAGCAGAAAATGCATCACTATCTGGATGATTTTTCGGCCCAGGCAGTGTAACAGATTCGTCTGAAATTGATTCATTATCTAAAGAGGTGTCATCTGGAGAATCTGTTGTTTCTTGGTTACAATTCTCCAAAGAACAACTTCCATCAGGTTTAGAATCAGCTAAGAGTAAATAATCATTCTGCAGTTCCACGCCCAATAAAATCGGACTTCCTACTTTGTTTTCTTCTTTCGCATTACATTCAACACCACTAATTAATTTATTATCAGTTTGGTCACCAATATCTGTATTACCAGTAGGAATACTGTCCTCTGTATCTAACTTTGTGAAATCTTTGATGCTTTCAGCATGGGTTGATTCATCAAGGTTTTCTATGACTCCAGTAGAATCCTTTTCGATTGCTTCAAGGGAATCACTTTGTACACAATCAGCACAGCAAGGTAATTTGTTTTGTTCAATGCCAGAAATAGCGGGAATTCCCTCCGAAGCTTCAGATTTGGATGACAAAACAGTTCCGCTATTATCAGAGCAGTTATTTTCATTGGATGAAATTTCTTCATTTGGAGTATTACATTCATTTTCAAAATTGTCGTCTAAATACTGAAATGCGGAATCTATTTCATGACATATTGTGTCTTGACCATCCTCATTATATGAATCAGAAGATGACTCTTTAACAACATCAGCACTGTCTATTTCAGGAGAGTGGGTAACTGGGGAAAGTATGACGGTTTGATCTGCAACATTTCTGGATTTTAATACTTCAGGAGAAAACTCAACACCAGTCTCGTCACTGACTTTTTCTTTCTTTGCAGCCAAACAGTCGATGTCAGGTTGCACAATAAACACAGTTTCCTCTGGCTTTTCATCTTCATTAGCGACTTCATTTTGTGATATTTCTTTGGATTTTATTACTTCAGGAAAAAACTCAACACCAGTCTCGTCACTGACTTTTTCTTTCTTTGTAGCCAAACAGTCGATGTCAGGTTGCACAATAAACACAGTTTCCTCTTGCTTTTCATCTTCATCAGCGACTTCATTTTGTGATATTTCTTTGGATTTTATTACTTCAGGAAAAAACTCAATATCAATCTCGTCAATGCCCTTTTCTTTCTCAGTAGCGAAACAGTTGATATCAGGTTGCACAGTAAACACAGTTTTCTCTAGATTTTCATCTTCATTAGTGATTTCATTTTGTGATATTATTCTGTCAGGAGGCTTTGTGTTCTTTTCATGAATAACATCTGGTTTATCATTGGCGCAAATGCTTTCACAAACTTTCTCTTCGATTTTTTGATGATCACATTGTTTTAGAGGTGGCGTATCCTTTAATAAGCTTGGAAACAAATGAATAAATTTTTCATTTGATGAAGATTTAATAATTGATGTCTGATTATTTGAAGGGCCGAAATTTTCAGACAAAATTGGCTCATGAATGACAGAGTAATCTGAGGCAGCTACAGTTCCACCAGATTCAGTTGATTCAGGAATTGGGATAGGACTTGATGAAAAATGCAAGTCATTGTTTGTATCATCACCAATGACAACAAACCCCTCATCTTCGTAAGTAGGGTTCACAAAGCCTTCAATGAGGCTTTCTCTCTGGGCTCCATCTTCTGGTAATGAATTAAATAGGTCTATGTTTTCTGATGAGACGATTTGTTTCTCAATGCCATCAACATTTCCTTGATCGGGTTCAGAAAAGTTTTCAAAATGTGGATTCAGATGAGGTATAGGGCTCAAAACCCGTAAAGATGGGGATTTGGCTTCATTTTTAGAAGTCGTACAATCAGTCATATGACATACTCCGCTAAAAGAATCAGTCACAGAAGACTGCAATTTCAAGTCTAAAGGGACTTGACATATATTTCTATGACTGGAAGAATCCTCTGGAGAGAAAGGATCTATTTCAACAGAAGTAGAAAGAACAGGATAGAGAGCTGAAAGAAACAATACCCATCTACCATCAATATATTATGTATTACAATATCTTGATGACAATGTTTCAAAGCATGTAACTTGGAATTGCAAAATGCTAGTCAAAATTTTTTTAAATTAATACGAATGGGTTTTGTCATATATTTATCACACTACGATTACTTAATTTCCTGACAGATGATTACTGTTGATAATATATAAAAAATATTTCCATGACAATTAGGTACCTTAATATTGAGCAAATTTTTTGACAATTATTACAATTAAGGAATATTTTTGTTGATACACACAGAATGTTGCACATGCCAACCTATGGAACCAAGGTGTTGTTATTGGTAAGTGTTTATGTCCAATGCTTGCCAAGAATCAACTAAAAGCGATAGTGCAGACATTCTTACAGACCCTATGAGCTTTGGGTCGCAGGTATAGAAATTCTAGAAATATTAGTTCTCAAGAATCCACTACCGCGTGAGGCTCAATCATGATTCAATGACATAATATTCTATGATGAAAAATGGAGCATGTGAACTTTTTTCAGCTAATATAAATGATTTTGTTATTTACTGAAGAAAAAGAAGGCCCAAAAAATATAAAAAAAAAATAACAAGAATCTTATCAACAAGAATCAAATCTAAAAATGAGTAATACGGTCTTGCTATGCGAGGATTAGGTGATAGATAAAGAAAAAGTCATTTTGAACTCATGAACCTAATAACAGAGTAACTATTTTTTAATTGGGGTTATTAATGGTAGAAATGTACATAGAATTTAGTTTAACTGAACTTAAAACCGATGGAAAAAGATCTATTTTGAGAATTCAAAGAGTGAAATTTTTTTTTTCTGTGTAAAATTTGCCATTTTTTCAATGGAAACTAGGTTTCGATGTATTGTTTTGCAGTAGATAGATTCATTCAGATTATTCAAAATCTTCTATGATCCAACTATTTGGACTTACATCAGCAAAGCACCCTTTTGATATTTTTGAATATAACTAACACAGTCAGTCAATGATGTAAATAACAAGAAAATGTTGATAATTCAGGTCTTCCCAAATAATCTAATGTCTCATACAAGTAATGAAACAAGAAGCAAAAGCCATTTTGTAAACATAACATTGATTTTTGAAGCCAATTCGATGAGCGCAAATACGAAGGAAATAGCATTATTAGGCCTGCTTCTCATGAAAGTCAAACATGTGTGAAATGATGTCATATATACGTTGTAATGATCAAGAATCGATATAAGTAAGATCATACTTTCGAATGAAATTACAGGCTTTGGAGACTTCGTTGGATTTTTGAAAGCTGCCATAAATATTAACATCTGTAAGAATTCATGTTGAAAGCTGTTGAAAAAATATGAATGAAAATGGTGTTAACATACCTTGATCCATTGGAACATCATCATCGTCCAACTCTGTTATAGTTGCTCCTTGGGTAATGTCATTTTCGGGAGACTGCAAAGCAATAATAAAGGCTTTAGTTAACAATATTGAGATTGATCACAATCCATATGTTAAGAAGATGAGTAGGTTTTAATAATTTCTAATAAGACAGCTTATTCTGTTATTGGAAAATGGAGCTGATGAAGCAAGTTCAGAAGTTCTTTGATAAATGTAAAAGTAAAATAAACAATGGTATTAGCATAGTCATTTACTTGATAACTGAGTACTGCAGTAACTGAGAAAAATGTAAAATATGATCAGAATTTGATAATGTTCAGATGTTACAAAAAAATGAAATTATAAAAACAGAAATGCAATGACGGCAATGAATACTGGAATATGTGAGAATTTTTCAACTTTCAAAGATTACCGGTAGGCGTTCTTTTTAAACAGTCACAGGGCAATGTTTCTTTAGATAGATAGATAGATAGATAGTTTATTTCGAAAACTCCATAACAAACCTAAATTTAAAATGGAGAATTCTGGAGGGCAAGCAAAACCTACAAAAAAGTTTAAAACATGAAGTATCTCATGTGCCTGCCCACCAGCACGCACACAAAAACACAAGCCCAATTAAATGAGGCTTGGGCCAAACTTAAAAAACAAAATACACGATAGTAATAAACTTTCGGGCTGTTGTACTCTCTTTCAACAATTACGTTGATAATGACCAATACCTACAACCTCATGCAAAGATAATGTGGGGAGTGGAATGTAATAAATTTGCGACGATAGTCATACTCATGAAGCCATGAAAGCTTTAAGAAAAACCAAGCCATGAAAAACTACACTGATTGCTAGATTGGGCATTGCGGAAAGGTGATAAGTGGTTTAATATACAAACAAACGCAAAACCATGGCGGCAAATTCGGTGTGCGGACACTCATAAAAGCAATTATTAGGAAAAACACTAATCACACGTGAGCAGGTCTGTAGCCTAATTGATACATTGACGTGGCCAACATTGTTCCATCTTTCCTTAGTTCATGGAGATCAAGTTTCCATAATGCAGTAATGGTATTACTGTGTTATTGCAAAATATTACAGTATTAATTACAAATTTTGCAGAGATACACAATGATATGACTATTACAGTACTAGTTGACCCATAACAGAATCATGGAATACTGTCTTGCTGTCTGACTGTCACATAGCCTACTTTTGCACTTCACTGCTTTAGAATAGAATTTACAATACCCTAGGGCCTAGGCCCATTATTTTCTTATAGAACAAACACAAAAACTCACCATAATAGTACTGGAGTCCGCCATTTCTCAACAATTTTTGTAGATTAAAAATTTTAAAAAATATGATCTGATCCAGAATAGCTCAAATCTAACGACATCAAAGAAAATAGAAACGTTCAATTAGTTCGACATTCTATTACATTTGAAACAAAACTTATTTCCTGTATCTGTAAACTACGTTTCAGTTATAAATATGCTCTTCTCTGACTATAAATTCGTTGATCTTGAAAGAACGATTAAACAAGATAAAGGAGGACGCCCTAACGGCAACACCGAAGGAAACGGCAGTAGGCAAAGCAACCGAAATCGGGGCGCATGTTGAACAGAAAAGCTAGTCATGCGTGCGATCACGTGCACCAGATGTAAACCAGCGCGAACGGTCAAGTATGTGATGGGGGCAAACAAACTGTTCTCCTCCCACGGAAAACCGCGAACTGGGGGCGACAGCGATAGTACTTTCAGATATATATAAGACTGACCAACTACCCTGGAGCCAGCAATGCAAACTATAAATAAAAGCGTTCGAAATATATCTCGGGAATTTAACATTTGCACTGAAGGTGAAGAGCGAATAGTCACTCGCACCCTCCTTACTTTTTAATTACCGTAACGCATGGCACCGATGTTCGCACAAAAACCGCGGGGCGCTCTCTGCAGCCTATTTCGCTATCCACAACGTAAAAAAAACTACATAAGTCCACTAAAACGACGCTTAATAACCTTAGTCAGACCAGTGACAATGACAGAGGAATCGTTTAATTATTTCGCTTTGGACATCCAACCGGTAAACTATTACACAGCTGTGAAAACGACATCAATGTAGCGGTTTGCCGTGATCGAGGGAACGCTCTGACCCATCCTCTCCAGCAAGGACTCTATCCAATCTTTTAATAAGTTTTATCTGCAAACGTTAGTATTTATTCCAGAAAAAAGCAACAATTTGCTACGAAGTTTATTGCAACAATTCGATTGATTGAAATTTTTGAAAGACTCGATATCTGACAACACAGACACACATACAAAAATTTATAGAAGTGTCAAACATCGAAAGGAATGAAGTTACAAGAGCGCACTCTTCAAGAAAAAATAATTAAAAGATAAGGTAATTATAGCAGCTCCGTCATGTTTTCTTACTTGGCCCACAAATGTTCAACTTTCATAATTACTGATAATATAAAAAGTAATTGCAAAAAGTTGAAAACTAAATTTAATGTAATATAACCAACCGTTTTATACCCATTTGCCATGATAAATAAGTAACATTTCCCAAAAAATTGTTTCAAATATATTCACTTATAATACCTATGGTGCTTTTACCCTTGTTAATGCAATTCATTCAATTACAATAACATTTATAGGTTGTGTTCGAATATTAATGTAATTGATGCCAAGGTAGAAAGAAATATGAAACTCAATTGACATGAAAAACTCAACGATACTGCAAATAAATAAAATATGCCCATAATCATTTTCAATTAGGCGTGTACAAAAGCTGCACCTATTGCACATCCATACTTCACGATCTTATCGCTGCATATTCGATAGTTGTTACTAGAATTGATCCATCTTAGACTTAAGTCTCGGAGGTAGCACATCCAAGTCTCTATTGCTTGGTTAAAGTTAGTTTCAACCACCAAGGCTGTCACTTTTCGGATTTCCAGATAGCATTCTTTTTTATCACGAATCATCAATTACCAGTCCACCGCTACCAGAAGAATCGTTGCATGATTGATATAAAGGCACCACCTTCTCTGTTGATTCTGGCACTGGATTAGATTCAGTTTGGTCAGTTTCAAATTCATTTTCTTCTTCATTTACATCGTCAGTTTGAATAGATGGTGAAATTGAAGTGTGATCAACATCTGGTACCGTTTCGCCGTACATATCCTTCATAATCTCTGCCCATCTAAAAACAAAAAAAATAATAATAAAAAGAAATAAAAACTTACAATTTGGCAGTTAATTTTTGGTTTTTATGAAAATAAAAAAACAAACAAATCACCTTTTTTCAAAGAAATTTCGGATTTCATGTCCAGCTCTTCCAATATTTGAATCATCCTCATTAAATCTTTGACAATTGTCGAAAACAAGACGAACTTCAGCAACAAAGTCCTCTCTAGATTTGTACCTGGGTAGGAAAATATATATTATGATATTTATTCTGCATTCAAATTATTATATTGTTCTACACTTATTAGAAGAATAAATACACCTTGAGCAACTTAAAAATGCAGTACAAATTTTACATCACATACACATGAAAAATGCAATGATATCATTGGATATACTTGAAATAACCGCACATTCTGCATTGCGACTCCTGCTAAACACTAGAGCTGACATGGTTCATAGTACGGCCCGCGGGCCAAATCCGGTCCATTGGGTAATTCAATCTGGCCCGCCTGATGCTACCGCAACCGAAATAAAATCAAATTATAATGTTTAGCTAAAAAATAGCTCAAGAAAATTCACATACAGCAGCAAAATCAAAGCTGAGGTAGACTGACAATCTTTTGTGGCAATAAATCTCTCTCTCTATCTCTCTTGATCAACATGTGAACATGTGTTTGACAAGATTTTTGATATCAAATATACATTTACACAAACTTACCGTCCTCTCTTCAGTCGACCTTCTATCGTGTGGAAATCTATAGGTTTTTTAATAATTTTCCGATAGCCAGGAACGAGTTTGCAGTCTACTGGAAATAAAAACCAAGTTGCGGCTTCATGAGATTGAAGTTCCCTGAGAACATTCCTGGAATAAAACAGACGATGACAATTATTATCATAAAATCAATCTGCAAATTTTTTTTTATAGTGACTGCATAGGATAGTGATCAGTATGAAGATTAAAACAGATAGGGAAAACGCAACAATGCATGAATTCATTACTGCAATCTGCTATATGGGTTTTTATGAAGACAGCAATGATTTTGTTCCATTTCTATTTTCACAGTAACCTCACAAAGAAAGTGAAATATGTTCCTATGAATATATTCAAAGATTAACTTTTACTTTGAAATCTGACTTAACTTTGGTACTAAGAAGAAGAAGTAAATGCCATGAAATAATGAGGGTTTCAAAACTCTTCTGTAATTTGATACAGAAGTTAGATACCAAGATACAGCTAATTCCATGAGTTTTCGATATCATACCTCAAATTTCAAATACTGAATGATACATTTATCCTACACAAATAAGATGTTGATTATACATAATGCGTGAAATTTATTATCATTTGCACTAGAGGTTCACTGAATTGGCCTATGTGCTTATCAAGCTTTACATACACATTACCTGCATAAAATGGTTTCCTTGTCAGCTCTTTTCTTAGGTTTACTTTTGCTTGGTTTAGCACCCTCTTCGCCCTCCTAAAACAGATATTGCTCTATATGAGAACTATGAGAGTTGTAAAGCATGAAATAGACTCGAAAATAAGGAATAAACAAATAGCTAATGCGAGGGTATTATTGAATCATAGTTACACCATATACAGAAATGAGAATGAGAATTTGATTATTTTTTCAGTTAAAGCAATGGGGCAATGGAACTAGTGTGTGTTTTAGAACGCTTTCCCAGTGTTACATTTTCCTGAACACCCGGCCTCTTTTTATATTCTCAGAAGGGAGTCAGAACCAAGTGCAATAATTTCTATAACTATATTGCCAACATGCTTGTTAGTCTAGTGGGAAAGCTAGAGACCACTACCAAGCATGAGGTGTGACAAACTGATTAGGTCGAGTCAAGAAACAAAACATTTCTGTCATTCAGGATAGGATTTACGTATTTAACCCGGGGGAGATGAAAGCCGATAATATGGCTTGATCATATGGTGAACCATGACCACTCGTCCGGTTACCAGTCCATGTTGGGTATGGGATTAGTTGGACGGTTATTTGTTTTCAAATGTATGAACTTGATGGTGAAGGAAGCCGAAACCGTCCAGCGGTGACGCGAACCACCCTATGGGGTCCAGCAATCTTCTCGCACATAATTTACCCTGAATGGGATTTGAACCCACGCAGTGTAATCTGAGGTGCTGTGGCGAGCGTATTTCTAACTCTTTGCATGACGCACCACAGTACTGTGCCGTCGCTGCTTGATAGAAAGGAGTGAAATGTGAACAAACTGATTATTACCTTTGATGTTTTTGATTTCTTCGACTTTTTTTTCTTTTTCTTCTTTTTGGCTTCGGATGTCGGCCTGTACTCTTCCGACACGTTATCTGAGTTTGTGTGATATTCTGGTACCGGAGAAGACACAAAATCTTGGCCATTATTTTGTGAAAAATCACAACTATTGTCCGCTGACATTACTGAGTTTTGTAAATTGTCAGAGACAGATGGTGTTGTAGGAATGGGTGTTGCCAGACCAGACGTGGCTTCACAATTCGTTAAATCGCCATTGACAACAGGCGGATCATTTTCATCTTCAGTCAGGGATGATTTAGAAATAACGTCTGCAGTGTCAATTGGCATTCTGGAATGTTTTGATTTTTTACTTCCTGCTTCTGCGGATGAAGCAGCGTTTTTCGCAGTGTTTGTTTTCCGTTTACGTTTCTTTTTTGGAGGTACAGGACTCTCTGAACGATTAATTGTCCTGGAAGCTCCTCCTCGTTTATCTCCCTTACGTTTCTTTGTTTTATTTGATGGCAAGACTTCAGTCTTTACAGGTGAATGCTGTGATACAAGAAAAATAAGTTATAAAGATTATTTTTTCATTTACCATATTTATATTTTATCACCCTTAGATGATTATACAAGTCAACAATCACAAACCCTTAGCATCACATATTCTGTGGAATATGATCATTATGAAACAAGACAAATTTCATTCGTTTCATTATTTTGCGAATTTAAATTAAAGTGTATAACATATTCAGTGGATATCTTCAAATGCAGTGAAAATGGATACTTCAATGGATATTCAAAATAACCATACTTTGCAAATAAGAAAATTTAAATTCTTCTAACTATATTCAGCTCAATAAACCAATATACGAACGATTAATTTGAAAACTCGGGATCAAAATTTTCATACCGAAGCTGATCTGTCCCACGCTATACATGATTCTAACATTCTAATACAGAGTGATAGTTGAGCAGCACTAGATGATGATGCAACTGCATTTCTCCAAATTCGAAGGCCATGAGCGACATCCATTGCCCTGAAAATGCATAACAAAATATGGCAAATGGTTGCAAGACATTCTATAACATAAACAATACGGATGCTCATATCCAGCATAAACATAATGCTGTTATGAAGGCATCTAGAAATCTTGATAATAAAAATGGGAAAAGAAAAAGGAAGCATATAAAAACAAGTGCTTGTAGGGTTATAACAAAAGACTCTTCTTTTTATTTTCGTCTACGATTTCTACATTCAAGATTGATTTTATGTTCATCACTTCAAAACGGCTAACACCCACCCATCTGAAAGTGATGGTAGACTGCTAAATTCAGACGCTCCACCTTTTCGTACAAGGGGAGGTTTCAGATATCTTCTGCACACTGCACGTTCTAGGGAACCGAGGTAGTTTACAGCTGAGCCGAGAGCACTCGCTTCATCATGTTGTATAGGATTCACAGCATCAAACTTGATTTCAAGCCCTGTTTCATCTCTCAGTGAAGGTAGAGGTACATGAGCCAGATCCTTGCTATGCCTGCTTGGTTGAGGATTATCTGTGCTCCATTGCTGTGTTTAGAATAAAAATGGATGTAATTGGACACGAGGTATCTCCACAACTAATGGATCAATCAATTTCAAACTTATTTTTATATATTTTGTCAAATTTGCTTCAAAGATTTTTTTTAATCCATAGGCACACTTATGGCATTCCAAATAATTCTTTAAACATTTGCTGACATCGAGTTGCCAAAATAAGCATTTGATCTTCATGTCCATCGATCATTACTCTTTTGTAATAAAAATTGATTATAGATAAGTTTTTCAACACGAATATGTTACGAACATCTCTCCAAATAGATTTACGACTAGCTTCCACTTATTTTTATGCATAGCTCCCCCCAGGATGAGCTAGATATTATTTCAATATGTTTTAGTACCCCATATTGCCAAAGGTGGAAAGTGACAAAATACAGTTCACATTAAACAAATTTATAACGTTTGTATTTCATTTTCTGGATGATAACACTAAGAGTTATTTCTCTTACTCACCGTTGATACAACTGCCATGTCCACACATCTAGTTGCCAATTCTTCAACTTGATTCAAGACTTTCATCTCCGATTCGAATGCCAGCTTCTCGGACATGAGGAATTTCGATGCAATATCGTTGTTTTCAGTTTTCCTCTCTTGTGAAGAACTACGCGTTGTTTTCTTTATTTTATTAACTTCTGTCAACTTTTCCTCAGGCTCGCTCTTTGGCTTCTCTACTGTTATAACAGCAAACTTGTGTTCTGAAAACAATATTTTTACATTTCAGTCATTTCATAATGATAAATTTGGAATGTCTTATTATGTACTTTACCATGTTTACAAAGTTTGTCACCCCATAGTGATCTGGTGCGAAGGCGTCGCTCATCGTGCTAAGCGTTAGTAATACGCTCGCCACCACACCTCTGATTACTCTGCGTAGGTTCGCAGGTTCGAATCCCATGTGGGAATAGTTATGTGCGAGAGGATTGCTGGACTCCTCGCCACCGTAGGGCGGTTCATGTAACCGCTGGTCGGTTACGACTTCCCCACCATCAAGTCCATGCTTCTGAAAACAAATACCTGATCCCATATCTGACATGGGCCGGTAACCAGACGAGAGGCTGTGGTTTGCCATATGATTTAACCGTCTTATCGATTTTCCTCTCCCTCAGGATAAATATGTAAGTCATATCCTTTCCTAAGTGAAAACGAAGCCATATTTTACTTTGCCAATCTTCACGAAGCAGGCTAGATTAAATGTGAGTATAATATGAATCCTATTGCAAATATGTATGACCATACAGTTTCATTTATCTTTGTAATGTATATAGTTTATTGAGATAAACATCCCAAAATAGTGGGCCCCTATTTATCGGTGAGTAGCGTCTTGCAAAGAGCCTTGTTCCAAGTGATACCAAGGTTTAAAAAATAAGCAGTAAACTCCCACTAAAGGTGATTAATACAGTAGATTGGCAACTGGCATGAATAATAAAGTTTATTGTCTGATTGATTTCCAATTATTAATATGTTAGTGACGTCTACCTGGGATTGTTGAATCTTCCATTGAATTTGTACAAACTTCAAAATTTTTTGTGATATTCCGATGAAGTTGTTTTTCACGTATTCCTCTCAAATGAAGATTTTCACTCAATCGTCTGAGTTGGCTCATGCTCTCAATTCTCCACCATCCTCTCTTATATTCTGTATTAGAACAGTTTTATTATTAATAGTTATATCATGTCATATTCAAAAATATAGATGAGCTCAATGATGACTTCATATTAAAACAGGGTTTTCATATCCCGAAAGTAGGAAACCGAAATGACTGATCCATTTACCGAAATACGGGCTCATGTTTGTTACCATTCAATGTCAAGTATGGTCAAACAGTTATTTCTTTCAGACGCATCGACTTGATCTTGGATTTGATATATCGCTAAGCTCCAAGAATATCATAGACCAGGGGTGTGCAAACAGGCATTTAGTGTGACCAGAGTCATCTGTCAGATTTTTCCCCATCGAGCATAAAATCCTAATCTGACAATTTATGTTTAAAAAGGTTCTCACATGGATAAAATACCTAATGTTTTTTTTGCTCTCTACGCTGTGTTAAATCAGTCTCCATTTTGCCCAGATCATTTATTTTTGTAATGCTGAGCGCCACTAATAACCCAATTCCCTTCTCCTGCCTTTCCCGCTGAATTTATGTGTGAACAGCTGGTTGTCGGAAGTGAATTCGCCCAATGACAAGAAATGTTGCACACATCTGCCATATACGAATGCCCCATTGCTTATTTATGGTTGAGTTAGGCAAGCAGTGGAAAAAAGTTCCAATCGATATTAATCCATATTATATTTTCACAATTTTTGCAAGAAAACAGAAAAAGCTTTAGTTCAGTTATTTTATGTGCCATGCTCAATATTAAAAAAAAAATGAAACAAAACAATGCGTTACATAAAACGCAAGAATTGCTGAAACAAAGAATTTTAAACATGTCACAGTCAGCTTTTTTTAAATTAACGTTGTCATCGTGAATTGGTCTGAATTAAGGCGTTTGCTCATGGCGCACAGAAAACCATGAGGACCCAGTTTGATAAATCTTGGTCCTAACTAACAGTAAAAAAAAAATAAAAAAAATGAATTGACGTAAGGAAAAGGGACCACAAACCTCTTGGTATGACATCTGGTTCTTCTTTGACATCAGGGGCACGAATAGGAAACTTGATATCATCGAGAGATTGAAAATCAGAATAACTGTTCGTTGAGACAATATAATTTGCGAGTGTATTCGGAGAAGAACGAGATGAGATCATTGAATTATAATTTTCCTGTTCCATTTTCATGTCATTAGAAAAATTTATTGGAACAAAATATTTAGACTCTCCGTACTTTGAGTCCGGACTATCACGGAATGGCGAATCACTTTGTGCTGTGATGGGTCTATGTTCCAATTTAATTGGGAAATCAGCAGCAGCCAATAGAGTTTTAGGTACAGGGAATGGTTCGGCATCTGGTGCTGGCTGATTTTCAGAATTTACGGTTTGGCAAGATAGGTCCATAGGAATGTCTTGGTCGTCAGATTTTTTTCTTCCATTTTCTGGATCTTTCTTTGTGTTTTCTTGTTTTGAAACATTTTTGTTTGGTTCAGAAGGCAGTGGATCAGTGGAATCATTATTTTCAACACCATTACTCCTGCAAATGAGACAACAAAGGGTGAATGCTCAAATAGTTCTTTCACTTTTTTTAAAATGCACGATGGCGAATCTCTATTTAAAAATAATCAATTTTCTGTATACAATTCGACCCATATTGTAACATGGTACTCCCATAGCGTGTGTACTTGGTTGGGGTTAGGCCATAATTTTATTCAGATTTCCTCATTTTGGTTCTATTACAAGTTCGAGGACTGTCTGTGTTAGCCGAGTGAATGTACCGTACCCCCTGCCCACAGGCTTCCGTCCCTTTACACAACTTGATGTAAAGTAGACGAACAAAATTAGCTACCTCCATATTGGTACACACACTTTTGGAGCGCCAAATAAACAGTGCAGACATAATTTAGAAATAGCCTTATGTGTTCTATTCTTGAAATTCTACATTGGAACACATTCACTTTCAAAATATTAGAAATATCAGATACATCAGCACATCTATGTGTTGATCCCGCCACCTTTTTATTGAACTATAAGTACTAAAGGATTTGTGACCAACAGAAATTTTATGTCATTATGTATGGACTTGAGTGAACACAAAAAACATTGTACACACTTGTCACTTTCTTCAATCTCTTTTGTCATTTCATCCTTTCCAGCATTATTCAATTTTTCTAGTGTTGAACCAACTGGTGCATCAAGATGAGACAATGCCTAAAAATAAAGCAAAGAGTTTTTTAAATAGTTTGGAAAAAAAATGTCAGCTAGATATATCAATTATACATTTGAGATAATATTGTGATAGAAATTCAAATCATTTTACCTCCAATTGTTGCGAGTTCAATGAAACTGGATTAACTCCCATTTCTACAAGTGCATTGAGTGTGTGCTCTCCTAGAGGAAGTTGGCCTGTAAGTATAAAATAGTGATTGCGCGGAGTTCAAAATGAGTAAGCAACTTCAACCATCAAATTGTACAAGCTTGTGATATTTTTGATTTGTCATTTGTCACAATAAATTTATATATAGAACTGAACACAAAAAAATAATATTCATATACATTCAGAATTCGCTATATTGGATATGCCTGAATATTGAATTATAAATACTTTAGAATATTTCCATTTGAAAATTTTCAGCTTTTGGCATTTTATGTCTTAACAGTCGAACGAAAAATAAATCAAAACAATGCTTTTCTGAAACATTCTGCGTTACCAAATTAAATTCCCATAGATTCACAATGATTAGTGTAGAATTTTCAGTTGAACTGTATTCAATTTAGAAATGTCTTCGATATTACACAAACAAAAATAATAATTCAGAACACATTCAAAGGAGAAATTCATCTGGTTTTGGCCATCTCTACCTTTATATCAGCGAGATTTTTATTCCTTGAATAAGCAATCCTACATAAGAAATATGTAACTCACCATCCTCTGAATTTGGAATATTTGACTTATTATCAGTTTTCTCTGATATAATGTCATTTTTTATCGTTTTGGATTTGGTCAGACTTTCTTTTTCTAAAAAAGAAAAATAACATGGTAAAACTTCTCTAACCTACCAGAATTTCTAATTAAAAACAAAATATGTACCTGGAAATAACAAGTGTGAGGAAGAAGCAACTGCTTTGGCCGCTATCGCTTTTGCTGCGACTAAAACTTGATCGCTTTCTTTATCAGGCGCAGATTCTACCTTTGTGAGAGGGGACTCTTTCATTAGACCTGGCTGAGAAATCAGCTCAATGCTTGATTCCTTTTCGGACATAGGGGAAGTAAATGCCGTAGATTGTTTTAGCGGCTTTGTGAATAGAACTGGAGAATTTGTGTATTCACGAGATGTGTCATCATCCATATTAGACTCTGATTGTGGGTTGTATAAAAAGGAATTTGTGTTGCTGTCAGGTTCTGGTGTGCATGAACGTGAAATGCCTGAACTAGCTCTTGTGTCGTTATCGATATTATCGCAAAGATCAAAATCACCGACCGGGTCATTATCTTCATAAGCATCTCCACTATTAGCTGATGAATCACCATTTTGAACAGAACTGTTCTTAGAGTCTTTGTCACTGTTTACCAAATAATTTTCAATTTTTTCCGTAGCTAAATTAGCCAGTTCATCAGTTGACTTTGTATGGTTGGCATCTTTTTCTTCGGCTGGTAATTCTGAATCAGAATTATTACTGATGGGTACATGAAAAGGTGGTGCAGATTCTTCCATTCCGTCCCGTGCTGCCATTGAATCACCATCTTCAACTGGTAGATCATTATTGGAGTGTTGACTCGAAGATGCTTTTTTAATTCTGTTTGCATCTTCAGCTGTAAAAGCGTCAGATACAACAGCATTATCATGATCGATTCCATTGGATTCCTGTAATAACACAGATTGAGATATTTTCATAGTTCCACTTTGATCATCCAAGTAAGAGTTCTCTGTATCAACTTTGCATTCATCCTCCCCATCCATTGTCTCTTCTTCATCTTCAATTGCTTCTGCTTCCTCATCTTCACCATCCTCCTCCTCCTCTTTTATACTTTCAGATTCAGGTGCGTCAGAAGATTCTTCTTTGTCATCAGCGCTCTCAAGATTCTCTTCTTCTTCTTCCTCATCCTCATCTTCATCTGGACTTTCATCATCATCTTCATATGAAATTCCACTTTCAAGTCCTTCAACATAAACCTAAACAAAAAATAGGTTTCATATACTGTTCACTTTTAAAAAGCAAGGCATTAGGTGAATATCTAACTCAACATCCTGAACTGCCACTATAGTTGAAGAGCTTTGACGTACCGTACATGGGTTATTAATTAGTGTAGTGGGCCTACCATATCATGCTTGGTACAATGGCTGTAAAATAAAAGTTTGGCATGTTTCTATTGATAAGTCAGATTCTTTTTTCGAAATTTCTCAGAGTGCAGCTAGAATTTACCGAGAGTTTAAACTCTACCAAGCGCCCTCCTCCAAGATCACCCTCTTGTAAATTATCCTAGTTTTCTGTGTAAGCGAATGGAAATTGAAGATATGATATACCTCGTAAAAAAACAAAAACACATAGAAAAACCATTAAAATAAAACTATGCAAAGTACAAAAATCTAAACTTTTTTTATGTACCTAGAAAGTTACAAATTTCACATACTGAAAGCATAACTGAACTGAAAGATTAATAAGCAAAAGTCTAGATATATAAAAATTGGGATTTGTCATCCGCAAGTGAATAACAACAAAAGAACCCGCCTTTCAACATAGATAAACTATATTCTTACCCCACCAAGGTTTGGCAAAACCCAGTATCTTCGTTTATATCTGTCTTGTCCTAAATCCAATGCTCTGAGTGGTTTAGAACTATTAGTTAGTTGAGTACTGTATGAACTGTGCAGCTGAAAATAATAAAAAAACAATATGAAAATCTTTTTTTTCGTGAATCAACAATCTAACTTCAAATACAAACTGTGTCATTAAATTCTATTCTTTCAGAGAAAAAGGTGACATCACACTTTTGTTTTTGAATATTGTGTGAAAATTAGAATACTTTAAAAGACTATGAATCAAAATATCTTGAGGGAATTTAGGAATTACACATTGATCAAAGTGTTGTTCTCAACTATGCTGGTATAATCGCACCACAGTTTGAAGATCTTTGGGTGCAAATCCCATACTCATCCCCTGACCCAGAGTGTAATGAATTGGGTAGACTAGGGTTTCCCAAACTTTTTGGGCCGCTGACCTCTGCTTGCAAATTTTATTTTTGACGGACCCCCATCCTGCCGTATCAACTTCTGTGCATGACCAACGAGGAAGGATAATATTTCTTTTACAACACAAACGACATTAATGTGATGGATGAGGTTGCTCTCCACTGTACAATTTATCAATTCTTGGAGCAATTTGTGAGAAAAGATGCAATGATTTTTTGATTGAAATCAATCGTAAAAGATCGATTCGACCCCTTTCACATCGTCGCGGACCCCCTCGTGAAGTAAGTCATCACAGACCCCCAGAGGTCCGCGGACCCAGCTTGGGAAAACCCTGGGATAGACAATGCCAAATCAAGTAGATTTCGGTTCTCAAAATAACAATAGTTTCATACATTTGAGAAGGTTGACTGTGCAGAGTCGTGTAAAGAGTAAACCCACAAAATGAAAAAATCTTTACTATCTGAAAACAACAATTTCACCTGTGTAAGTTCATCCATTTTTTCCTGAAATTTGGCTTCCCATGAATTCTTGGGTGTCTCAACCTGGGAAAATGTTATTTGATGTTTAAAATGAGGTTAACATCGGAACACCTTTGCAAACTACAGAGTATTTAAATTAAAATAAGGATTCCAATAAGTTAATATCAATGATATGCAAAACAACATGCTTACTTTTGTTGGCGTTAAAGATGAATTTGTATGTTCTGGATTTTCCAGTTTAATAATAGGACCTTCCAGCATCAGATTTCTTTCTCTGGCAACACGAAGTCTGAAATAAGGATATTATATGTCAGATTACCACAACACATTTTATTCAAAATGGCTTTTGAGTCAAAATCAGGCATATATTGAGTAGAAATGAAAATTAGTTTTAAGCTTGATTTCTATTTTAACGAGTAATAAGATTGAATCTGATTAATAGTGGACATATGGATATATTTCAGTTACAATTCCACACTTACTGTCTCATTTGTCCTTCAACAATCCATTTGTCTCTTCTCAAAGTTGAAAGGTTGTCGATGTTCTTCTCAATTTCCATACAGATTGGTCGACTGCAAACTAATTCATTGACTAGAAATGCTAAACATTGCGCTTTCTCATCCGTCGTAAGCGAAAGAAATGGAACCGTCTCCAATCGCTGTGCAATCTAAAAAATATACCAAATTATTAACAAATGGTATGCATTTTTAACTGTGCTGCGAACCTTATATCTATTTTGGTTAAATATTTGTAGTGGTTCAATTCTTTGTCATTCAAAAAAATTCTGGTTATGTCTAAATTTTGCATATTTCATAATACAAAGATTTGCCCAAACAAACATTAATAATGAATATTACACACAACCCCTGATTAACCTCATACCAATTTTCGAAATGAGGAAATATATACTAAAACACCCAAAAAACTATGCATAAACCCATCAGAATTATAATACATTACCTCAGTTTTGAAGCCACTTCTAGCCCATATAAAGAGTCTTAATATTTCTGAATAATTATGAACACTGACATCAATATCAGTAACTTTCACTCCAGTAAGACAATGAAGCTGAAAAGCAAGAATGTATTCATTACTTTTGAGCAGAATTAGGAAAATATCCCAGGTTAGAGTGTTACTCTTCACTATAACCAAACAAACAAATAAAATTGTGCGTTCGAAACGCCACTACCTCACCCAGAGTGTGTAGCCAGTGCCGAACAGAAACAATTACGATCCTGTCAAAATTATAGCCAATAAAATGGCCTAATCATATGGCAAACCACTGTCCATGTCGGGTATGGGATTAGATAGCCAGTTTTCTGTTTAAGATACATGGACTTGATGGTGGAGGAAGCCGTAACCGACCAGCGGTTATGTTAACCACCTTACAATAGCGAGAGTCTAATAATCCTCTTGCACATAATTATCCCACAAGATTCAACTTGCAAACCCACATAGGGTAATCATCGCACATTTCTCTCGCACACAATTATCCCCACGAGATTTGAACTTACGCAGGGTAAACAGAGGTGCAATGGTCAGCGTATTCCTAACGCTTAACACAATGCACCACACCATCAAGTCTAATCAAAGGAGTAGAAAGCACAATACATGAATTCATTTTGCTTACCCAAGGACCGGGTGCTGGAACGCCAGGATCGCATAAACATTGATGAAGTAGAGACATTGTTATTTGAACTACAGAAGAAGTATGATTTGGATCGTTTAACAATCCTAATTGAATCTGCTCAAATGTTGGTATTGTTGACTCATCTGAAACATAACAGAGGTACTGTTATGCAAACTTACAGGCAACCATGAAAGCAGTCCAGTCTCTCGTCTGCCCGTGGGTGCTTATTTTATGTGGGTGTTTTATATGGTCTTAAAATGCGACCATTTCTGTTCATGATAGGCTTGCACGTAATTTACGGATTTACGGAATTACGTAATTATTTGGAGTTACGGAAGGGAAGTTACGAATTACGTAAAGTCGTAATTATTGCATTGAAACGAGCTTTCTTCAAATCAGTCAATTTAGTCGATTGCGAAAAATGAAAGCTCAACAAGTAGAAGAAGTTAGAGTTCCGGTATTCGCAGCCGTTGTTTTCTTATTTTTCTCTCTCTTGTTACGTAGGTGAAGGAAGGCATGACGCGTTGCCATTTACTAACCTATTATCAACTTATCTGGCATGGCCAATGTAAATTATTAACGTAGTTAAGGGGGAAGAACTGAGTAGGGCCGTTTGACGCCAACACACCTGGTCTTAACTTCTCCCGCAACTTAAACGTAGATAAGGGATAGAATTGCGTTGAGACCGATTGACGACAACACACCTGGTTTCAACTTCTCCCGCAACTTGACCGTAAGGGATAGCATTGCGTTGAGACCGATTGACGCCAACACACCTGGTTTCAACTTCTCTCGCATCTTATCTAGCATGGCCATGGCCAATGTACATAATAACCGTAGATAGGGGGAAGAATTATGTTAAGACCGATGGACGCTAACACGCTCGGTTTCAACTTCTTCGGGTGAAATGACTAATGAACGCAGGAGATCAATCTATCAAACATTTGTATCCATTTTACTTTTATTTATTATTTACTTGTTCCAGTTTTCCGTTACTTATGGTATATATGTTCCGTTTCTATTTTATAGCCACGCGTTTAAATAGTGGGAATTCCCCACCAAGTGTGGATTAGCAATGCTTAACCATTCTTTATTGTTAATATCAACACTTGATATATGAACATGAAATATCATACTGTTTTTGGCTGTTTTATTTCAGACTTGGGGTATAAACAGGAAAATATCCATAACCTTCCAACACGACGATTTTGTGAAATTTAACGAAGAGCTTTCGCGACGAATTGGAACCAAATAAGCGAAAAGAGCGATTGATCACTCGCGCCAATACCTCTCAGTGATAATTAATGTCGCCCTTATCAAATAGCAATATGACAACAAAAGAGAGATTGCGTAATGAACCAACGCAACTTCGTCTTCTCGGCATCGATAAAGCGATTGAGACGGTAGAGAAACAACAAAACCCCAGATTCCTCGCGGACCGCTAAAAATTTAACTGCTATCAAATATGAGCCAGTGTGTTTATTCTGTGCGAGATCCATTTTCTATTACAAAATCTTGATGTTCTGTTAACGGTTTTATCGTTATATATCAGTCCGGACTTGGCCTTGCTCATGATGTTTTTCACAATTCCTCTCAATATTTCGGCCATATATGATTAACTGTCTTACCAAATGCGGCAACTTATTTTGATTTATCGTCGACTTGAATACCACCGGCACTCGACCAAATTTGTGTCAATCTTGGCCGATAGGATCGCCGACTTGAGTTAGCAAATAAATGTCGTGAGTGTAAAATAAATGTCACAAAATGCATTGTTTTGCGATATAACTTTGTATTTTCGGAGAAGGCATATCATATGAGTTCGGTATTTAGATTATACGCAAATAAATAATATTTGATCTAAATTTATCGCAAATAATGTTATAAACATTCAGTCCGCGAAATGATTAAATGTAAAATGAAGCATGGTAATCGGAATATCGCCAATAACTCGACATCAATAATTATTATTATAAAATGCTAACAAGGCAGTAATGTCGGATAATGCAGAAGACGCTGCAAAAACGAGTCTTCGTCGCGAGGAAATCGCAAGTATAATCAAACGGGAGAATACGCTCGTCGTTGGTTAATAAATTAGAAACCCGTAATTTTTATTCAGTACTAAGGTGGTTTCAAAAAACTATCGTTTTCATAAATATCCGTATACCAGTGTCGGTAATGATAAAATAAAATTGATCGCATAAAAATGGGACGGTTAATTTGCGAAGGTGATAAAGGAAAACCAAAGCTAACACAAAAGATAAAAATCAGAATAAAATTAATTTGAATTCACTCCTTGATATTTGTCTTTAACATCTGCCGACGGCGTGTAGTACTGCCAAGAATATGAAAACCCAACTTCAATGTCCCATTCGGAAAAGAAGTGGATTCAATTGGTTGTTATGATAGGTTTAAATGCGTGGAAAAATATCGCAATTACGGGGTCATTACGTAATTGATTTTGCCGTAATTACGGAATTGATTTCTGTCAATTACGTGCAAGCCTAGTTCATGATTATAAATTAATATCGAGCTTGCCTCATTGTCTGCTCAAAAAAAATGAGGCAAGACAAGAAGTGTGGAGTAAAATCTCTTGGTGTGACACGCATAGTGAGACAACCTATTTCCAGACATGCGACCAAACAGTTGTTGAGCTAGAGCCAATCGAAGGCAATATGCAACTGCCGTACAACAGCTCTGGCCATTATTTGGTCCATGTCTTATTTCCCTTTTCCCGATTGACGGCTCTGAGTCGCTAATGGAAAACCCAAAAACTATATGAATTGATCTAGAATCCAATGTTCATGACATACCAATTCGAAGACATTCGTTAAACGTTTTCACAAATTCTAGAACCATCAGTAAATCAGCAGATGCATTCCCGCTCAGTTGATGAGGACACTTGTTATCATAGGTTCCTGAAAAAAAAACACCATGGTTTTTTGGTAAAGATAAATAGGATAGAAGATAAAATCTTTGATATCCTGAACCCATCAAAGAAATAACAAGAAACACGAACAGCTTACAGACCATATTACGTTATCAAAGGTATCCCGTAAATGTAAGCAAAAATTCTAGTAAAAAAATTGAAACTTCAAAAATTGTGTGAAATGTGATTGTCCAATTGCAAAATAAGACGCACATCCTGGATTATTTCTCTGCTTGGTTACAACATCTGGATATTAAATAATAAATTATAACTTGTGAGAAATGCATTTTTTGCTAGATTTTCAGCAACCCCCTCACAGCCTAACCCGAACATAGGCAGCAAGCAATACTTGACTTGTTTCAAATTATTTTACACATCCCAAATGGTAACATGAATCTATTTTCTATTTTTTAAAGATTTCAGCAATAGCCATAAGCCTATGTCCATTAGATACTAGATAATGAATTAGTTTGATACAGAAATAAATATGATTCATTATCAATAAGGCAATATCCTATTATGTCACTGACCTTGCAATCTATTAAGGTGAGGAAGTTCAGGAGCTCCAATAGTTGCCATATCTTCAACCGGCATTTTTAATTCCCTTGCAATTTGCATCGCTATTCTTCGTTGCTCCTTTGAAACAATTCACATTGTCAGTATTTGTGTTTGCCACACTTGAATTTTTTTCTGTGTTACTAAGCTTTCAATCGACGATACAAACGGAGGGACTTGTACTACTTTTGGAAAAACCAAAATTTCCACCTATCGCGATTTCCCCCCCCACTTTATTACACCATGGGTGCATAGGTGACCTAGATAGACCTATGAATTCTCCTCTAAAGTCAAATCTTCAATTTTGAGATAACCTTCATATAAGGCATGTAAAAACAATCTACCATTTTCTTTTCCCTTTCTCTTATTCTCTCCAGTCTGATTTCTTCTCTCCTTTTCTCTCTCTCTTCAGCTTTCTTTCTAGATTCTAGAGCTCGTATCAGAAGCATTTGTTGCCTCCTCTGTTCCCTCTCGTATGCTTCAGCAGCCCGACGTTCCTGAAAACATTTTATTTTTGAATAACTAAATGAACCCTAAAAAAGAAAACTAAAATAAAAGCACATTGTGTAAGAATCCAAAAGATTTTAGTTACAAAACATACAATTTGTTCTTTGTTATTTATTGGTTAAAAGGTGATCGAAATTTAAAATTTAAAGTTTTTTACCTCCATTGCAAGTCTTTCTTTCACTTCTCTTTCGATTCTATCTTGCTCAAGTTTTTGTAATTTTTCTTGTTCCTGCAATAACTTCAATTGTTCTCTTTGTCTCTCTTTATCTGCTGAACATAGATAAGTAGAAATAAAGAGCCAACAATTGCAGTAAATAAAAGTTTACTTCACTTCACTTCTGTGATTACTCAAAGTTATCAATGAATGGATGAATAAATAAAATTGTAAAAAAATGAAAATCACTTTTCTCATATGACTCTTATTCACTCCTCTTGCACCGAACAGGACCCAGTACAAGCAGCCACTGGTATGCAAGGGGATCATTTTTTATGGAAGGATTAGAATCTTTCTGATTGTCTATCCAATTGATTACACCCCAGGTGGGGTGGTGGGCATGGTGCTTGGACCCGAGGTGTGCAAGTCTATCACCTAACTGTTCGGCCATCACACCGACTAAATTAAACTTCATTGAAATAAAGCAATGCACACCTAATGATAAATTAATTCATTTCAGAAATTCTTTCCCTCAATACACAATTAAATGAAAAACAGTAACAATTATCGCTTCACACTACAAAACAATATATAAAGATTTACCTCTTTCTTTCTCTGCTTTAGACGATTTAGAATCTGCCTTCGAAGATGATGAATAATCGCTCATTTGATCACAATTATCAGGCAAAGGGCTTGAATTTCGACTTCTATCAACTTGTTGTATTTTTTGTTCAAGTTCCTCCTCTGTTATTTCTTTCCACTGAACAAAAGTGAATATAAGTAAATAAATGTGCTTTAGTTTTTTAATACCATTTCAATATACAAGTTAGGACAATGGAGAAGACATATGATTCATGACTAACATTTTGTCTTTGAAGTAAATATTTGGCTGTAATAGAAAGAAAAATGGGTAAGTAATTTAAAATCCCAAGAGACAGATATAAGACACAATTTATTATCAATTTTTTGGGCATGATGACCTATAGGTTAAGTTTAGTGTGTTTGACCAAACTATGATGGCATCGAAAATAAAGAAAGATAACAGTTTATCGAAGGTTGGAAATCAAACAAAACTTGATTTTACAAAATTTTATGTCAATGACTTAGAATATACTTAATAAATAAAGGAACAGTATTACATTGACAATTACATTTTGTTTCCTCGAATAATAATACCTCAGTATTTCCCTTTTCTTTTTCTTTTTGTTCGAGAAATGATCCAACCTTGAGTCTCGAACTGAATGAAAAGTTATTTCTCTGCAAATGTGTCATGTTGTTCTCTTCAATATGCTGTAAAAAGGAAGCCATTTACAAGAAATATAATATGAAGAACTATTTTTGAATATCCAGAAAAGCTTATGAAATATGATCAATTGTCAACTACGAGACCATAAAATATTGACTTGCAGGTAAAAGAAAAAAATATTGTGCTAAAAAAATGGCGTAAATTATAAATCTTTGAATATAGATTCAGTAATAGAAGTTAGTTACAAGCAGCCAAAAAAAAAAACAGAACCCAGTTCATTATAACTTTTGTGGAAAACATCTTAGATTTCCAAAACTTTTGGGTACAATCATACACAAAGAGAATTTCAAGTGTTGAATAAATTTTCATCATTTTTCTAGAGGGAATTAAGAAACCAATGAGTTCTGTTTATTTTAGGTCACACTGTATTAAATCACACATTACAAAAACATCCAGATTATATTTTGGATAAACAGACTCAAAACCGCAAAAAAAAAGCATATGTTTTCAAAATTTGTTTATTGTCATCACCTTCAGTATATCAGGATAGGTTCTAAATTTCTTTCCACTCGGAGATATGTAAACAACCTCTCCTTTCAGATGATTGCCAACAGCTCTGAACCGAACTTCCCGTTTCCAGTCGTGTTTTAAAGGTTCAAGAACCTCTTCACTACCAGAAATGACGCGGCGGCGTTTTCTAGAAATTCTATTGGATCCCACAGCTGTAAAAGATAAAGATATGATAACTTGATTAAAATAGAATCACCTCACCTTTCAAGCTTCAAACTTGCAACAATTCAAATAAATTCATAGAGATTATTCTAACATAACAAACAATACAAGGTATTTTTCTCAATAAATTTTTGTGTATTTCCCAAAGTAAGTTCACAACTTACTCCAAAACTGGAAGAAACTGGACAGGCCATAGGATGAAAAACTTACTAAACATAATATGTTAACAAGCTTTGTCGCTATCAATAAGTATACACTAAGTATACATTAATAATACAAGTACGTGCAAAAATACTGTTATATTCGCACATAATGATCAACATATAAATTTCAGATTATTGTATAAAGCACAAAATCTACAATTTACCAAAGTGTTTTGGTTAAACTATTCAAAATCGATATAAACAATCTCCACTATTTAACACAATTAGAAACTGGAAAAACATTCAAATTTTCCATGACACATTGACATTTATTAAATGGATTTAAAACTGTTTGTCTGAATTACGGTACAAAACATTAAATTAATCAAACTCTTCAATAAGTGGGAATTACTTAACAATCGATGAAATTCAGGTACTTACAACCATTTTTCTCAGAAGCAACATCTCCATCACTGGACGCAGCATCTTCATTTCTTCTCTTCAACTCATTCACTTTATTATTTTCAGTTGATTGTTTTTCTGAAACAGTTGGAATAAATTAATATTAAAGAAATGAATGTTCAAATCAAAAATATTTCTATATTGATATATAACAGGTAAATCGGTAACAAATGAGATCAATTAAGATTTGTTCAATTAATTATGAACGATTTCAACAATTTTGTTTGGATTCGGTTTCGTTACACAAGGAATACAAAATTCAGCCGGATAAAATCAGCTGGATTATTATGGTTATCACTTTGATACTGGTATTTAAATTTAAACGTGGAATTTGGACATATGACAATTTCAAGATTTTGTATGAAAATATTTTTTCAAATAAATATAAAAAAATATGCTAGATAACAGTTACAAAATACACACAAAGAATATTCCAAAAAAATCCAATTTACTGAACTTAAAATTTACCGGCTTTTTCTTGATATTTGGATGATGAGGCTTTATCTGATGTATTTTCAGATGAGGTATTATTCTGAAATATCAATCATAAAGAATCAGATCACAAGTAACCACGCCAGAAATCCAATGATATATGCTACACCTGCACACTCTGGAGAAGTGGGGCCCAACCGGGATTCCGGGTTTACATTCAAATCCGAAGGTCTATATTTTTATATGCATATTGTCTAAATAAAATCGAATACCCATTACTGTTATCAAACTACATTTTAAAGAGTTTTTATAATCCTTGGTAGATATAGGAGCTTTACACATGAAGCCCTTAACCCCCACACCAGGATTGATTTGAAGCGATTTTTATTACTCGATTTTAAGGAATTTGTGCGTGAAAACACGGTTGCATGCATATGAATCACCAAAAACATTTATAATGATACGACAAATCGGTTCGAAATCTCAAGGTTTGGGAGATAAATATATTTTTGATCAGATTTCAATCATGTCACTACAATCTGGCATTATAGTTATTTTGCCATCCCTGATATAGATAATTGATTGAGACAATTGAATACAAACCTGGTGTATTACGGATATTCTGTTGTCTTTATCTTTCGATTTCTTATGATTGTTTTCCAATTGCAATTGCTGCTGTCTCATCTGCTCCTGAAGTCTTTGTGTTTCAAATGCTAAAGCAGCAGCTAAGTCTTTATTTAATTTTTCTAATTCACTTTGTGTCATTTGATTTCCTGCTTGTGATGGATCAAGGAAGGCATTGCTTCCAGGAAAATGCATCGCACCCATACCAGAAAGCAAAGCCGTTGCGTCAGCTGTGTTTGGAATGCTAAGTAATGCAGCTAGTTCTTGTTGAGTTAAATTTGGATTAGAAGCAAGTGCAGAAAATAGTTTTAGAGTTTCAGATACATTTTCCTGTCTATGGTCTTTTGAAGAGGAATGTTTTGTGGTGCTTGGACTCAAGTGTTTTGATGAAGATGAACCGCGAGATTGACTATGGTCAGGGTCCCTTGATTTTCTGAATGGAGATTTGGAGAAATCTCTTTGCGGGCTAGTATGTGCTTTCCCCCTTGATGAAGTTGAATTAGCGGGACTGTATAAACTCGATCTAGCATGGGACGAAGATGAAAAAAACTCATTTCGTGAATCATGGCGAGGTTCTTGTTTGACACGAGATCTAGATTTTGAGTCCCTTGAACTTGTAGAAGAAGGAGTTGCAGCCTTGTTTCTGAATTTATTCGAAGCGTCCAATTCTTGCTTAAAAAATGCTTCATACTGTTGCTGTTGTAACTGCTGACTATAAAGAGCAGCAAGCAAAGCATTATCAGGAGAAAGTTCTGCACCCGGTATACCAGAGATGCCAGGAATAGCAGTATTTTTAGTCAATGCTGATTCTGGAGTTTGACGTTGTGATTTTCGAGGCGAAGAAGACTGAACTCTGGTTTTTGATGAACTAGGAGACGAAGAAGACGCATATTGCTTTGATTTGGGTGGACTGTGCAATGACGAACGATGATGTGAAGAAAAGGATGATAGAGAGTTTTTATCTCTGTGATCAGTTCTTTCGTTAGACTTACTTGAACTTTGTAAATTTCCAAGTCCAGTTAGAGCATTCATATTCCCCATCTGAAATTACAAGTAAAAATTTTGTCAATTTCCAAAAAACAGTCACAAAAGTTTTCATTACAATTTTATAAATGTGCAACTGAGTGACTTGCTGCTGAATTTTTTCTGTACCCCAATCGATTATCTAAACAATGAGTTAGGTGGTGGATACAGGAAGATGATTGATTTGTCACGGAGATGATAAATACTGTTTAAAAGAAGACTAGAAATTTTGTTGCGAGTAAATAAAATATGATCACTGAAACAGTTTAGTGTAATCATATTGAAAATTGAATAATTTTACATACTTGACTCATCGCCATCATAGTTTCCAAAGCTCCTGGAGTAGAGAATAAAGAGGACGCCATCGCAGGTGACATTCCTTGAAGAGAGGAACCTGTAGCACCCGTTTGCATTAATTGCATCATCATAGCCATCTGCTGCTGCAACTTCTCTGCATCCGAAGAAGCTCCCTAAACATTAATTACAAAGATGGAAATGGAAAAACCACAAAATAATGAAAGTTTATTGTAGATCATATTGCCAGAGCTAATTAAAACTAAAATAAAAATTGGGAATTACAAAATATTCATTACTGTGAAATTAAAATTGAATTCTCCATTCACATTGATCTCAGTCTAAGATATATTATATAGGATGACCAAAAAACAGTACCCGGGTCATTAGTAAATTTTTATAGAAAGAATATAATTTTTATGCAGAGCGATAATTAGATTAAGATTACTCAAACAGAAATTCAATGTTGAATAAATTTTTTAAATAAAGTATTTGAAAAATTTATGGATTCTGTTTTCTTGGGCCCACCTGTGATATTCTTGCATTTAAGAGAATTTGTTCAGAGCAAGGTCACACTCACTCAGAAGTAAAAAAGACTCATCTTTAGGATGAATTATAGGAAAACACTGCCATGGTGAAAGCTACTAAAACTATTACAGATACAGATTTATGGTGGTATATTATGAGAAAGCAAATGCTGATTGTCGCCACACTTGAAGTCAATGAAAAGTGTTGGAAAAAAAGTTTTGGCTCCAGCATTAAAATGAATGAAGATTAAAAATAATAGGTATTATCCAATCAGATAAATATACATAGTCACTGACAAACAATGTCTAATTACCTATAGTTATGAATAAGCTCCATATAACATTATATGCACAGATATACGATTACTATGGTAAAGAGTTACCTTTTTATGAGAACTAGAACTAGATCCAAGTGAAGTTCCAGAAGAACCCGCCATCACTGATTGTAAAGCAGCTGTTAACTGATCTTGTTGTTGTTGCTGTTGTAATTGAAGCTGTTGCACCAAAAATTGTTGTTCAAGTTGCCTCATGATTTCTGCCTATATACAAAGAATAAAGATTTATACATTATTAAACTTGACCAATAAATAGTGAACTGTATACCTGGCCACGAATGGCCTTTAATAATAAATAGGTTTACTTTGCAATTTGCAAAAAAGCTATTTAATACACAAAAGTACATCTCTAGTGGAGCATGGTTAGAAGAGTGTTTAAAGATTCACTCGAATGAGAGTAAACCAATTGGTATAGATTTCAACTGGCATTTCTGATTTTCCCAGTAGATAATATACAAATACAAAATGAAGCTGACTGAAATGTCAACAATTGACAACACACAAATGCAATTTTGGTGTACATTCAAACAGACCAAGTAAATTTATTAACAAGAATGACGTGAAATAAATTTTCAACATTAGTAACAAATGGGTAACTTATTTAGATAATCTTGATACAGACAGATATAAATAACTTGAATATGGCGGTAAAGAATTATTTTTGATCCAACGACAGAAAGCTTTGTCTTTATGAACATTGATTGAAATATTTACAAGTACATTTACATTGAGTACGGACATACGAGATTAAAAACTAGAAAAATAGAATGTACTTGATTCAGAGCATATTAGTAGGTTTCTGGACATTTATTTATTTCAGACAAATATTAAGTCAATATACCAAACTTACACAGCAACAGAAGACAATCACCTGATACTAATTCATATATTTTTATTTCAAATGACTAACAATGGAGATTGGGGATAAGTCTATTCCCACTAATTCATCATGAAAATGAAGACAAACTTCAAACATAACTGTTGATCACAAAATCAATATGCAATACTGTTTACAAATAAAAACCAATTCAAGCATGCAAGCTATTTAGCTATAATACAGTAATTATGTCAGACATTGACATACAATTATAACCCAGCATTTTTATTGATTGAAATGGACTACTTGCAAACAAGTTGATCAATATAGGATTAAAAATGCATACTATGTAGATTGTAGACTGAATTTAAGGTATGAATTGAGAGATAATATGGACCAAGATCAATATATGGTTATATGCAATGACAATCGCATAATTGAGGGCCTTCTGCAGCGGGATTTTTGTAATCTCATACTAGAGGACAATAAAGAATTTCACAAACAGCAAGTGGGTAATGTAATTGACAAACCTGAAAAACCTGCTCATTCAACTTTTGTTGGTGTTGGCCGCTTGCTCCATCCATCTGAAATATTAAAAATTCTTTAAATTATTTGCTGTCTATGTAGTAGGGAAATTGTGAATAATAATCATAATAATAATACAGCTAGCCTTATGATGAGATACAAAGTTCAATTGCCAGAATACCAAAAAGTTTTTTATGCAGAAGAATAAATCAAAACCAAAGCTAGTTCGGTTGCTGAAAATTTCCATTCGGTTGAATGGTGGATATGGGTCATTCTACGGCGCTCCAGAAGTGTGTGTACCAATATGGAGGTAACTAATTTTGTTCGCCTACTTTACATCAAGTTGTGTAAAGGGACGGAAGCCTATGGGGGCAGGGCGTATATTGACTTGGCTAACACAGACAGTCCCTGAACTCGTAATAGAAGTAAAATAAGGAAAATTGAATAAAATTATAGCCTAACCTCAACCTGGTCCACACACACTACGGGAGTACCCATTTTATTGATATGAAATACTTCTATAATCTTGACACCAATCATGATATGAAAACATGAACCACATACCCAGGAAGAATTCCCAGCTGAACTGCTCTGCTTTGCGTTTGTTCCTCGGAAAGGAGAACTTGTACTATGATGACTGTCAGGTCTTTCTCTTGAAGATGAGTTCATCGATTCATTCGACTTTTTTCTGTCTTGTTGAGATCGACTAATTGATGCACCTGATGACCCAGGCCTTGGCGACAATTCTTCAATAAATTAATTAACATTGAATAAATCATGATAAAAGGTCTACGTTTGCACAAAAGGGATCTGTTTGTTTTTAAATGCTGGTTACATAGAGTGGTAAAAAATTAAATTTCCTCTTGATCCTAATAACATATGCCGTTTAAAGTGCAATTTAAAAATATATCACGATGAAATGAGATGATATGTCAAGAAGAAATGAGATAATGTTACTACAGTTTTATGAGACTTGTTTCAGAGATGTTTTCATGCAATTATAGTGGTTGATAAATCAAAATCAAGGTATAATCCTTCACAATGTTTGCTGAAAAAGTATTCTGTTTGAAAAGATTTCAAAGCCTAAAACCTAACTTTCAAACCCCACAATGTTGTTACAGACCAAATATCTTCACTGCAGTCGATTGTATTTTCTTGGTACAGACCACGTTTGCAAAAACCTGTATATATGATGTACAAAAAGCGCCTACCATTACGACTATTGGATTTCCTATTGTCTTCTTTCATTTTGTCTACAGTTGATGACTTTGTGTTCTGCAATGAATCGGATGACAACATAGAAAATCCAGGCATCATCCCAGGATAGAAACCCCCAAGACTTGCAGCCAGGGCCTGATTTTGTGCTAGATTCCACCATTCCGCAGCGCCTTAATATAAATATTTCGGTTAAGGCATCATTATGAATAAATTTCAGTTTCATATATTAAATTTAAAGAAAGATATTCCGCTTTCAGTTATTTTTGAATTAAAATCCAATTGTTGATATTTGCCAAGTGAATATATTGATAAAGTCCTAAAAAATGCATTGAAATATATTCTAAATAGTGAACTATCTGAAAAACTCATATATTAGAATACATACCTGCGGTGCTTTGTCCACCCAACGAACCAAGACCCGCGAAAGCTTGCAGAGCAGCAGGATTCATGAATGGAAAACCACTTGCTGCTGCAGCCATCGGATTTAGCAATTGTTGTGGATCAATTCCTGAAGGTAATCCTCCATAACCCATTAAACTGGGATCTAAGTATTCTGGCGGAATCCCAAGCTGTTGAGCAATAGCTAATTGTGCTTGTTGCTCTGCTGCTGATAATCTACCTCCTTGTCGAGGGCTTTTACTTTGTTTCTTTTTATCCATTTTTACATAGATTTGGAATAACAGTATATAAAGAGCAGAGTCACACACATTTTTCACAGCATTGTATAGATAACTACATTCACACTTATTTTTAGATAATTATACAAAAACTGTTTGAAAATGTAGTACATTAGAATTATATCCTGCTTAGAATAAATATATACAGACATGCAGATCAGGGGTGTAGCCAGGGGGAGGGGGGGGGGGGGGGGTTGACGGTCGAAACCCCCCTTTTTGGAATGAGTAAAAAACGACGACTAATGGGCGTGACTTGCCACGCACATAGCAATTTTTAGAAGATCAGTTCTCTTAGAAACTTGCGGGCTTCCGGCCAGCTGTTACAGTGAAACTTGGCAATCACAAATTTTGATGCTCCGGAAGTATGTGTACCAAGATGATGCACAACCTGAACCCTAACCTGGTACACATACTATTTTCAGGTTGTGCGACATTTAGTACACATACTTCGGGAGCACCTAAATTTCAGAACCCCCTCCCCTTTGAAATTCCTGGCTACGCCCCCGATGCAGATATAGACATGAGTATAGAACAACCTGATTCTTCTTCTTAACAGCTGTACAAAGATATACAAATCATATTTTTTTAATAGCTCATTAAGATTTCACAAAAAAATGTTTATATCGTATATAAAATGCAGAATGCACTGCCACTGGTTATAAGTCGACCAAGATGAGATATGGTGTTAGCTTTGCAGATATGAATTTGGTTGAATAATTTGTAAAAAAGTTCCATTTTTAAACATTTTAGACAGAAATATTAAAGATCTTTTCATTCCCCACAATAAGTAAAAAAAACATTTCAAATTGTTTCTAAATTAAAAAAAAAAAACATCTTTTCAAAATTTATCAAATTTTTCAATTGTCTGAAAAAAAACAAAAAATGGAATCAAACTATGTCGCTCCTCAAGTCTAATATACTCATTTGCACTGTGTTGGCAAGCAAGGGGATTTAGTGGAATAAATAGAATATGATCAACCAGTATCTAACAATATATATGTACATGCATCGAAGTGAATATAAGTTTTTATTATAAGTATTTATTCATTTTGTTATGATTTATTACCGATCATGTTCGAGCAATTCCTTAGCAATTGGTTTATTTTGTCGTAAGATGGAGTTAGTGAGTTCACGTGAGGTAACAATCTTCGTCTGGTATGCGAGAGAGATTGGAATGTTGTGCGACTTTTTTGTTTGCAACAACGACGATGTACACAACATGCTCTTGACTGTCGCCAACGCTAACGACGATGACATTTAGACGGGTTTTGGCGACTTAGATTTATGTGTATATTCTAACCACATTTATTGGTCGTAACTTTCAAGGTACATTTTCAGAACAAAGGAAAACTGACGCGCATGCCAATTTGCCGTACCAAACTGATGAGACCGACGAAATTCGTTAACTTCCACTCTCTATAAGACGCTCATGTCCGCAAAATATCCACCTCGCACCGTTCTCATCTCAAAACAGCGCTATTAAACGAAAACTGTTTTAAAACTATGTATAATATTTATAAACTATCATTTAGTCATCGATACTACACAAACTGAAAACTTTAAACATACATTGATCGGAAAATAATTTCCGTGCTGTTAAATACTAGTCTAAAACGGTGTAAAAATACAGCGATTGTCGTTTTATAACTCCGACAAGAACAGATTACCCACCTGTCACCGAAATATTTCGCATATCTGAATTAAAAAACATCTATTATCGACTTTATCAATTCTTTGTACAGACTACAATTTGTTAGTGCTAACTGCCGCCGTATAGTGTTTAATCACATGCAGTCGAGTTGTTAGATTGTTGCACGAGTCTTATAGAAGAAATATCTTCTGCGATAAATTGCCTTAACAGTTATAATGTGTAATAACAAGCTAAGAGCGAACACACAATCGTGTTATAACGAGTATACAATCCGGAAATGATCATCCATACTGAGCCAAAAAGGATTTACGTATAAATAACCATGCCGAAGTGCTGTGCGAGTTTAGCTAAACCTTACGCTTGCGTTATGCTTTTTTACACACGGAGATAGATTTGGGTTATCAACCACCAATCGCCCGCGCTCAAACAAAAGCTATTTGTTTCTTATTCTCGACCACGAAACCTTTGTGAATCGGATATAGCGAGGATTGGTAATATAACAAAAGTGATTGCACGCCACTCGAAGAAACACACGTTTTCATTTCGATTTGGTTGGTTGAGTTTTGGGGCGGTCGGAAAAGTGAGAATTAAACCAGCGAAATAAGCTAAACGAGTAGTCTGGTGATATTATATTATCGAGAGCGATGGTTTATGTTCCTCGAGTGGCAACATAAATGCTCTGCCTTACTTGAAAGGTGCGCAAGCAACAAATAGAGAAATATAAAGATAAGTGTTTTTGAGAGAGGTGAAAGACAAATTTATGTTAAAGCGCATAGTGATTCATCTCACACGAATAGCCTTCCATGTACAGAGATTATTTTATATGCTCGACAGACCGGGCTAACTTGAGAATACTTCTCATTTGTGCCGAACATCTGGGATTTTACAAGGACAAAAATGAAGTTTAAATTTCTGAATGAACTACCACTACCAATCGAAATTTTTTTTTTTAAATGTTTCCGCCTGCGCCAAAAAACTGATAACATTTGAAATATATTTTAACCCATTCAAATGCTTACACGATACATTTTTATTCGGATTACGAACACGGGCCATCTTCGAATATGAAGAAACGTATATGCATTTTGGTTGGCAGTATAACTCATGTAAACATTTAAAAATATTCATGTATATAGCTGGAACATACAAACTGCGCCTGATTTCCCATAGAATTATACATTAAAATAATTGATACGTATAAATTACCGATAGAAGGGAAAAGAGCTACTTCACTTTCAACTAACCATTCGTAATTTTACGATATCGCTAAATACTGATCCAGAGCAATATACCTTGGATTTACACTTCGGGTCCACTGCGAACGTCTTTTCTAAGGAAGTCATATTTTAAAAGCAATATTTCCTCACTCAAACTAAGTGCGGATTTGATATACCCTTATATCTGAGATAGCACATTGAAATGATTCGTATTTGACACAGTTTTCGCTTTCAATAATTTATCGACCTGGCCGCGCGATTTAGCTAACTCTTTCTACCCATTTTCGTCGATTTTCGCGGGGCGTTCCTAAACCCGTAGTTGTCTCTCCGTAAACAAGTAATGTTCCGTGTGTGATATTATTATATTATTGCTGCGCCTTGATAGCAAGTAGCGCAACGAGTGTGTGTGCATGAGACACACGCCTGGCCGCCTTCTGCTAGCTTTTTCATTGTGCTTCTTCAAAGTGGTGTGTAATCAATAACGTAATATAGGATACGTGTTCGGTAATGTGATTTTCATTTGTCCCTTCTCTTTTTTTCCCGACCACGCTACATTTGCTGTTTATCACGATGCACCAGAACTCAGAACAAATAAGATCGTATGAAAACCAACTGTAAAACCTCAATCAAGCCCGCCTGCACGGAAATGTCCATAATGGGTTAATCGAACGACAGTCTATGACGCGACTTGTATATTTGGCCTATAATCTTGCTCGCCGAAAAGACCTCTTAGTTCTGAAATGCGAAAACGATTTGCGTCTAACTGACAGCAGTTATAGTTTCATCATTGTATCGTATGCCGTGTTTAGTTATGGCGAACGGTTACCATTGCATTCAAGCGATTGCAATCAGCATTTTAAATAACAAATGCCGAATTATACCAAACATTTGTTCAATCTAACTCTAGCTCAGTAAAAACAAGCCATTAGTTCACGCAGAACGCAACCTCTCATAAATTGCGTTTAACTTATTTTTGAGTACTCGAAGATAATAAAACCACTGCATGGTAATGAGGCAATAGTAGACATGACTTTGAGTACTGATAGGTATGTACTCCTGCGAAGTTGTCATAATGATAAAGCCAACTAGTTTTGGGCGCTGCGATAGTTATTTCTAACTCGGTCATTTTAAAAGCATGTATGAATAAACCCGATTCCGAATGTTTACTGCCGCAGGGTTCCGTTATTGATAAGTCACATTCAATAAATTTTAACACAACGAGTACGCTATTTAGAATCAGTATGGCGAAGACCAATTAATAAACAAAGAATACCACCGTCATATCAAACTGGGTAGATTGTGATCATAAAAATAAAATAATCCTGTATATAATATACTCACATTCTAGTCTAGTCAGAGCGAAACAAAAATCAAACCGAATTAATGACAAGATTTCGTTTGCGACCGCAAATGAAAGGAAAAACCGATATCCAAGTCCTAAGCACAAACATGATATTATGTAGCCCCGAGCAATTTATTCTTCCTACAATGATAATAACTAACATCATCGACACTATGCTTACTGCAACCTAACCACTGACCGCCGACCAACCTAGCTTGTCATTTGTCAAATGGAAAGCATACTCATTTCATTCCGCCGACCGACGACTTCGAATACTGCGCAAAATGCCTCTAATCACATATAATAAACTGGTTTGAGATGGACATATACATTATTGTTACGCGATCTGAACTTTTTCTAATGCTCTATTTACCTCAAACCCCTTTCATTAATTCCTGATATTTCAATCGATAGAATTGTAACGACGGCAGATTACCGCTATACCATTACAGCCGCAACTAGATAATTTATTTTCAATGATATACTAATAGTTTGGTTGTACAAGGAATATTTTGGCCCCAAAATTGTCTGAAATACATTTAAATTTGGCACGTATACATGGTAGTCATAAGAATAACAGTCAGGAAACGTCATTATTCCAAATCGTTAACATAACTTAAGTGAAGTCATAGTACTCTTATTGCAATGTGGAAATTGAGTCGCTTACTAAATAATTCAAAGAAAAACACAAACATACATTTGTTATCGTACCTAACAAAAACACAAAAGATATCTGTTTATCGAAATCACAAAACTATCTAAACTCAAGATTGTATTGTATCCTACATGTATTCCCGCTCACATACTATAACTTCTTCACTGATTAATCTTGACTGAGCTGACTAACCTACCTGTTAATGCAACAGTGTAGTTACTACTAAACTAT